TTATTGAGAATCAGGACAATTTTTTTATATCTCTATTACTCATACCCATACTCTCGCGTTTACTGTTCTCTTTGTGCGTTCTTCTATACCTTTTAAAATTTTTTAAGGTTCTCTCAGACAAAATTTACAAATGTTTTATATTTAGTGTTAAAAAAAAACCGTCTAAAGGTCTTCTAAAAATTTATATAATATTTCACCTTTTTAACCCACGCTCCATCATTCCGCCCTAAAAATCTTATCACACCCCATCAATCCTTTTTGTGGAATTTAGATATTTGATCGCTTTAAACTTGTTTTAAACCTTCCGGAAATATTAAACTCACCTTTCTTAACGTTATCAAGCTCAATCCATCCTTTTCAAAATCCTTCAAATCTACCAATCCTTTTTAATAATCGTGAAAAACCCACACTTTTCAAAAACCTAGGATCCTGTTTCAAAATCTCTAGAATCCAAGCTTCTCAAACTCCACCGATACTATTTAGAATCTTAGAAACACTACGCTTCTCCATCAATAAAAAAAAGCGCTTTAAGAATCTTTCACAATCCACTCGTCCTAACCCTAATCGATTCACAGATCTTTTTAATGTCTGTGAAAACCCACATTTTTCGAAAACCCATCGATGCTCCTTTATGAGCCTCATGAAATAGAAAATTCCACGTATCCCAAACACCATCGACCCTCTTTAGTTTGTTTAAAAATCAATGTTAAAAATCAATGTTACAGGAGCTATTAAAGCTTTCCTAAAATAAATTAAACTCCGAGTCCATTAGCCTCCATGAGAACTATCAGCAACCTTCCATCTTTTGCAATTATTGACCGTAATAAATTTTCCTTGGAGTCATTGTTTTTAAAAACACTTTATAATTTAAAAAAAATACTGTCTAAAAAATTAAATAAATATTTTCCAATAAAATTACCAATATTTGAAAACCAATGGCTTTTAAAAATAACTTTGGCATTTTTTCTGATAACGAGGACGATGATGTCAAATATAATGCAAGCGTATTTAGTATCACATTGCAAAAAATTCCGAACGATAACCTAATATAAATACATTTAGCAAACCCCCATCCAGTTTTTTCCTTCAACCCTGGTGTTGGTTCACATCTGTTGTCGTGGCGAGCAAAATAAAAATGGCAAAAACAAAACTGGATACATTTAAAACCCCGCTCATATGCATACAAGACATAAATCAATCAATCATTTTCACTTTATCCCCTGTCACATGCACTACCCCATCTCAGTTATGGTACATCTTCTCACTCACACACACACAGACACTGGCATGAACACCCTACTTTGTTTTCACAAACAAGAGAAAGTTAAACTTGTTTTCTATTCATATTTATACGATTTGTCAAACACATACAAACAAATACATAAACACGCGTATATGTACGTGCACATAAGAAACATGTTCCTACTATTTACACACTTAAGTGTCATATCATTTACAATGGCTGACTTTTCAAATGTCAGACTCACACACACACGTAGGCATTTTAAATGGCTTGATGCCACACACACATACACACTCACTCGCTCACACTCAATATCACACTCTGTTTTGGTCTTTCTTTTTCTCATTCCCAGCTGTTGTTGTTGTCTCTGTTACCTTCTCATATTCCTTTGACATGCATTGCTAATTTTTTTTAACAAGTATTGACAGGCAAAACATTCCGGATCATATTCCGTGTTTTTTTTTTGTTTTCTCCATTTACTCGTGTTGTGTACCCAACACACAAAGAAGTGTGAATGTGTGTGTGTGAGTGCGAAACCCGGGCGAGTAAATGGATAAAATATGTATGAATGTGTGGTTATAAATGCATTAACATATAAATGAATGCGACAAATTATAATTGATATACTTTTTTAAATAGACATTTCACACACGCATGCACACTCATTCGCACACACACACACACATGCTCGGGCAAATGTCAAAAGGAAGATTTCATATTTTTTAACACACACACGTATGAATACAACAGAATTAATTAAGGAATAATATTTTGAAAAAAAAAAAAAAAAAACAACTACTGTAACGTGGCAAGTAGTGTTGTTAATGTGTGTATTATTCACTTGTTAGTGTTATTGTTGTTTGCTTTCATTACTAATTATAGCTAGCGGTTAGTAAACAATCAATTATTATAAATATGATTTTTTTGTAAATGCATTAAAATAATGTATTCCATGATATTTTGTTGCAGGTGCAAATCGTGTGATAAAAAACCATTGCCTATGTTAGGGAGTTTTCCATTAATGCTGATTAAATTTAATGGAAAACTTAATTTAATTAAAACTTAATAAGAAAATAATTTATTCATACCACAAATTTGTAATTAATAATTAATTTTCTTAAGGGATTTTTTTCATAATGTCATTTCATAATAAATATTTATTTATTTAATTTTTATTCCCTTAGCCTTATGGCCGTATATCATTTGATACGGTCAAAACGTGCCTCATCGAAATAATGGTTTTAGACCCTAGTTCTCTTTGGACCAAATCCGTTTCAGGACATTTGGAGCCGATCTAGCGATGTCTGTTCATCTGTCTGTCTCTCTGGCTGATGGGTACGATAACTCTCGAAGGGAGATTTTGTCCAAACTTGATACATCATAATATTATTATCAAACTTAGATCCAGTTCGAGGATGGACAATATCGGTGCCCTCCTTCTGATATCTCCCCACAAAAGGTCGACATTTTCAAAAAAAAAAAAAAATACTTTACTGCACTGAAAGAAAAATTATAATCCGAGATTGTTCCAACTTTGTAAATCCTGATATTTGCATCAGTGCTACATCAGGTGAGGAAATGGACAATATTGGTCCACTCCATCAAGTACCGCCCCCACAAAAAGTCAATATTTTGAAAAAAAATTATAGCTCTTATGAAATGTGATGTAAGAGTCCGATTGTCTTAAATTACACACATCACAATATGTTTATTAACCCAAGCTCTGGTGTGAAGATGGAATATATCCGTCTTCTCCTTCTGGTACCTCCCCCACAAAGCGTCAAATTTTGAATATTCATGAAGATCATAAAACGCGAAATTAACATCCGATTCCATTCAACATTGGTGCATCTTAACATTTCCATCAACACAAGGTCTGTTATAAAGATGGTAAAGATCGGACAACTTCTTCTGGTACCTTCCACACACAGGGTTCATAATTTTAAAAAACAAAACGCTCAAAGAAAGCGGACAAAGCATCCAAGTCTCTTCAAATTTCGCACATACAAACATTTTTGCTAACACAAGATCTGTTGTGAAGTTGATATATATCTGCGAACCCCATTCTGGTACCTCACCCTCAAAGGGTCAAAATTCTGAATGTCCATTAAGGTCATAAAAACGCGAAATTAACATCCGATTCCATTCAGATTTGGTGCATCTCAATATTTTCATCAACACAAGCTCTGCTAAAAAGACCGGACCACTTCTTCTGGTACCTCCCCCACAAAGAGTCAAAATTTTGAATAACCAAATGGATTAAAACGTGGAATTAGCATCCAACTCTCTTCAAATTTCACTTCTGCCATAGTTTTTTCTAACACAAGGTCTGCTGTGAAAATGGGATATATCGGCGCACTCCTTCTGGCACTTCCCCTACAAAGGGTTAAAATTTTTGAAAAAAAAAAACAATTTTTTGAAATGATTATCCAACTCTCTTCAAATTTCACACATCCAAACATTTTTCTAGCGCAAAATCTGTTGTGAGGATGATAAATATATGCCAACTCCTTCTGGTACTTCACACACAAAGAGTTACAATTTCCAATACTTATATAATAAATAACTTGCGAAACAAGTAGGCGATTCTTTACGACTTGCTATATCTAAATATTTCTCTTAGCCAGAAATCTGATATGAATAAGAAATTTATCGGAATTTATGATTTCGTATAAAATTGGATATAACTGTTCGATTTCCTTTAAATTATGCACATTTCTATTTGAAGAAGTGGAATATTTCGGTCGGCTATATCTGGTACCTCACGCATATTTCCACATTTTTGAAAAATTTGCATATATCTCATATAAAGGATGGGGAAATCCTAATATGGCACATTGTAATATTTATATCGGACTTAGATCAGATACGAATTAGACAATATTGGCCAACTGCTTCGAAACCTCCCCCATAAAGGGTCAACAGTTAGAATATTCATAACTCAAGGCTGGGGGTATCCATATGTCGACAAAACCAACTGATACTATTTAACTTGTTTATATTGATAAAAAAAATTACCTCCAAACCTGCCCAAAGCATTAAGACTCTTAATTGCAAATAAACATATTTTTTGTAATTAAACAAATGACCCTTTTTAAGTATTTATGTCATAAAAGATGTCGTTTCAAGTCATTAACCATTTGGTTGTAAACATCACATAAATGTTATAACGGTACTTATTTTTATTAAGAGGGTAGTGACATCAACTCCACATTAAAAGGCTTTTATTAAAAACATTAGGATTCTTGTCAATGATTTGTAAACAAAACAAATACTTTTTACATAAATTCAATTTTTTATTTATTTATTTTACTTTCTTCCTTCTTCAAATCATTTTTATGTTCATTACTTAAATTAATTTTATTTCTCTACTCGTCGATACATAAAGCTATTGCAATTGTCCTTGTATTTTACAAATACCATTGGACAGTGGAAAAATGCATTTGAAATGAAATTCCTATCAGATGCATAACTAGATGATACACACTTACTAAATACATACATACATACATAAAACTTAATAACATACATACAATAAATAATTTTTTTTCTTCTTGGTGTTTTTTGTTAACCTACAAACTTAAACAAATACTCTGAAGCGTTGATGTGAAATTTGCATTTCTAGGAATGAGATTTAAATGTATGCAATGCGGTTAAAGAACCAAATGGGATAAGTCCACTTTTTCCAAAGAATTATGTTCATATGTTTTAAATGAAAAAGGAGGAAAACAAGACAACAAAATATTACTTCATTTTTAATAAACATACAATAAAGTTATCCCTTTTAGCACTTTAAGCTCACATTGGTTGTTGTTTTTTTGGTTTCGTTGAGATTTGAATGTGAAAATAAAAAATGTAAATTTTAAAAATTCAGGACTACTAGGAATGCATAAATGAAAGTGAAGTGGGGATATGTGTGAAGAGTTGTGTGTATGTGTTTGAATGGAGGTTAACTTCAGCAGTGCTTTGTTGTTTTGTTTGTTTGTCTTCTTCATCTTCTTCTGTTCCATTTTATTATTCGCACAAATGTTGTCACGTTTCTAGATTAGTTTTACTGCCACTGACATTTGGCACTTTATTTCCAACCCATAACGCGGCGGCTCGTCTCGTTCTGCCCCTCGCTGTAGCTGTTGGGGGTGCTCGCGTCGTTGTCGTCGATGATGTTGGCGTTTTGGTAGGTGCAACAACATCTAACAATGTATCATTTTGTTGTATTACCAAATTGTGTTGTTGTTGCAGCTGCTGAAGTTGTTGCTGTTGCTGTAATTCCCATTGCAATGGCAGCAATGTCAATGCAGCTGATGCTCGTCTATAGGCCGATGGAGCCCAGTGGATTACTGCGACCATAGGGCGATTCTCCTTTGGTATCCAAGAAAAATTTGCCACGTAATCTGAGGAGTGGAAGAAGAGAAAAAGGTTAAAGAATACTCGTGGTTTATGAGCTAGAAAGAATGTGGATAAAAAAGATTATAACGGTTCATTTTAAAGACGTGCTGGTCTTTATTATGGGAATGTAAATTGCCCGTACAAAATATCATTAATAGAAAACGTGAATAGTTTTGAAAAAAGATACTCAAAATTTTGAAAAAATCGAAGTATAAGTGTGTTAGATAATCTAATAATTTGTACAACTGACCATTTTGAAACAACAAAATTTGTACAAATTATAAAAGAAATGCTGCTCTCTAACCCAAAAGTCCAATAATTGAGAGCGAGAGAAGAGAGCATATTTGATGTTTGCCTTACAGAGAGTTTATAAATTCTCATTGCAGTGAATTTGCTCAGTATGAACTGAAAATCTGATATTTACTATTTTCAGACAATAATTTAAATACTTTCATTAATTTTCAAATAGTGAACCTTCAGCATAGTATTGTATCAACAATTTATTATTTTTTCGCAATAAAAACTGTTGTTTTGATTTGATATTCTCAACAATTTAAAAGTGTGACGCATACATTTTTTCAAGGACCATCAATTGAAGAAGCGTGGATTTTTTTAAAGAATATGTTTTCAAGGACCATCAGTTGAAGAAATGTGGATTTTTTAAAGAAAAATTTTTTAACGACCATTGTTTGAAGAAACTTGAATTTTTTAAACAATATTTTTTACAGCGACCATCAGTGTATAAAATATTCTTTAAAATATTTTGTAATTTTTTTTTTTTTTGATAACTTTTGGCAATTTTTGTAGGTGAGATAAAAAAATCTCTCAGAAAAAGATACTGAGTACTTTTTCTGCCCTCCACCTTGAAAGGTTTGTAACATCACTCATGATCAGCATAAAATTCTAAGTCGATTAAAAGATGTCCGTCTGCCTGACTGTTCAAGATACAGCCCACATTATTTGACGTAGAGCTTTAAAATTTGGCACAACAATTTGTATTGTGTCTACGATAGTTGGTATTGAAAATGAAATATATCGGCCCACGTTTTGCAATAGCCGCCACATAACGGTACCGCCCGATATTCGGTTTTTTGATGATTTTCGAAACACATGTTTTACGGGCTTGTTTAAAAATTGGTATTTGTAGGTCATAATGGCTTCTAGTTCCAGTGGCGGAACATAGTATATTTTTCCACCAGTTTGTCTAAAAATTGATATTTGTATTCCGTAAGAAGTTCTTGCTCCAGTGGCGGAACATAGTATATACAGGTCCACGTTTTGATATAGCCCTCATATAACGGTACCTCCCGATATTCGGAATTTTGATGATTTTTACCCCATTTTTTCCACGGATTTGACTAAAAATTTATATTTGTAGTTCGTAATGGCTTCCGGTGACGGAACATAGTATGTGTAGGTCTACGTTTTCGTATAGCCCCCACATATTAATACCTCCCGATATTCGGTTTTTTGATGATATTTGGCACAGTTTTTCACGGATTTGTCTAAAAACTGGTATTTGTGATTCATAATGGGTTCTAGCTCCGGCAGTAGAACATTGAAAATTTAGGTCCACGTTTTCCTATATCGCACATTTAAAGATACCCACCGATACTCGGTATTTTGATAATCCTAGTCACATTTACCCACGAAATTGTTCTAAGAAGATTTGGAAGGTGGCAATCCTCGAAGTATAATAATACCTAGGGAGGTTCCCGCTTCCCCATACAACGGCCTCATCCACTTTATGGTTTTTTGAAAAGTTTAACAGCAATATGCATACCGTCGGTCTTACTGGTATATATAGTTTAATGTGAAATATGTTTGAATTCAGATATTTTTAAATAAAAAAGGTTTCTCTACCCAAAAGTGGAGGGTTTTAAAAGTTCGGCCCGATTTTTTGATTTAGATTTTTTATTTTAAATATATCTTTTTTCAGTTACAGGGTGTTTCCGGTAATATTAATTAATTGTAGGAATCAGAAACTGAAAATAAAATTAAAAAAATGTTTCTAAAATAGGAATATGATTTGGCCAAAAGGTACCTCACGGCTTTAAATAGAAGAGCTCTGTAGAATTTTCTTAAGAAAAATGTTTTTTTAAAGACTACTAGGAGTTGTTTTATAAAATAATTATGATTTCAAAGGATCCGATCTTAAAATAATAACAATTGTCATCTGCTAAAAAACTTTTGTCTCTTTCCCTCAAATAAGTCCTTAAAAATATTAAAAAATCCTTTTTTTATTTTTCGCTTCCAAAATAATTTTATCATTAAATTTAAAAAACCCCTTTTCCATTGATGTAAACAATTTGAAACTCATTTACAATTAATTAAATTTAATATGAAAAAACAAATTCCTGCACACTCAATATATTTTCTTTTACCCATCCACTTTATTATAATCATCTCTCACAGAATAACAACAAACAAACATACAAACACAACAACAACAAACATACCTCTTATCAGCTCCCATGCCCATAAACGCCTTGCCGTTGCCACCATCACGACAAGTGCCAAACAATTTCGAAGGCTCACATCTGTTGGCTGGAAATGCCATTGGGTAATGGACAGATTCAATAAAATATTCCCAGGCACGTTGATGGCTACAACCTACTGCAAACACCAGCAATGCCAGCGACAACAACAACAACAACGACAACATGCAAAGAAACAGTAAACAAAACCAAAAACATATACAAGACGACAAAAATATATTATTTTTTTATTCTCTGTTTTGGGAAAATATGCACGACATCGCCATGCTGGAAAGATACTCACTCAAAATGCCCAACCAGCGATTATTGGCAATTTCCTGGCGTGCACAGCCCGGCTGTAGAGCATGGCCACCATTTGGGTAGAAATCAACATGACCCATAGCCTCAGGATTGCCTAAAATGCCACCGTCCGTGTGTATGATATCAACGAATAGGGCATCGTTGGGTCCCAGACGACGATTTGGACTGCCATCCTCGAACAAAGGCAGGGCAGGATCAAGACCTAATTAAATGGGATGGTGGGGTGTGGGGTGGACAGATAACTTCATTACAAAGGCTTCTAATTAAATTCAGGCGTTGATGCACTTACCCGTTATGCGTGGCAATAATATGGACCATTCCTGCAGCTGTTGGCCAATAAATCCCGCCACCTCGGCACCCAAACTGAAACCAATCAAATGGATGTCCTTTACGGGGAAACCTTTTTGCACCAGAAACCTTATAAAGCGGGCCATGTAGCGGGCGGCAATGGGTAAATTGTCCACGGAATTTGTGTACCAAGGCACGGCCGTCAAGGGACTCCAATCGATGAGTATGACATTGTATGTGCCGTTTTTCAGAAAAGCTATTAACCAAAAATACACATACATCCAAATAAATGAAAAACAAATTGCCATAACTTGTTTAGTTTTCCACAAAGGGAAAAAGTGTTGTCTCTTACCATCTTTAATCTCCTGACTGCTCTGCCTTTCGCTTGTGGCCGACTCGGAGAAGCCATGCAAGTAAATGACCAAAGGATGATTGAAATTAAAATTGCTTTTGCGCAAACGTTTATCATCGCTCAGATACAGATTTTGTGCCTTAAATGGATTTTTCCTTAACGAACGAAAAAGAAGAGGAGAAAAACAGAAAGCGGAAATGACAAAGATTAATGAATAACTGATTGGAGTTCATGAAAAATTGTATGTTCTGATGCGTTCATTTTTTAGTTTCAAATGCCTTGAGGAATTTTTGCAAACAGAGTAAATTAAAGAATAGAGTGGCAGAGAAAAATGAAAAAAGTGACAAAAACTGTTTTCTGGAAGGGAAAATATGTAAGAATATATTCTGTATTTAGGTCCTAAATAGGATTCCTACAAGGGAGTTGAGGTTTTGCTGCATTAGGATATAGATATTTTGGCAATATGCGTCTCACGTATAATAGCTACAGGAAATTGATCAAGGCTTTTAATAAATCGCCCACATAAGAAGGTTCCCAATTTTCTAGATTCTGTCTAAATTTCCTATCGATTACTGGCTCTGAGAATTGTAAGCTAGGGTGTGTCCACTAAGTCATCAGAGACCAACTTAAATTTAATATTTATTCCCAGGCCAAACATTTTTAAGCTAAACAAAAGTAAAGTGGCGCCCAATCCCATTCGCTATATTTAAGTTAAACCAGTGAGGAAAGGGAGGTACTATTATATGAGAGCTGTACCAAAACGAGGACCTGCACAAATAATTTTCTGTCATTTTCTATATTATCCATTATGAACTTCAAATACCAAATTTGAAACAATTCCGGTGAAGAATGTTTCTAAAATCATCAAAATGCCGAATATCGGGAGGTACGGTTATATGGGGGCTATACGAAGACGTGGACCTGTACAGACATGTTTCTATCATAGGTTGTAGTATTTATTACGAACTTCAAATACCAAATATGAAGCAATTCCGGAGAATAATGTCGCTAAATTCATCAAAATAACGAATATCGGGAGGTACCGTTATATGGGTGCTATACGAAGACGTAGACCTGCACATACAATTTCCTGTCTTAGGCTGTAGTATCCATTACCAACTTCAAATGCCAAATATGAAAAAATTCTGGTTAATAATGTCGCTATAGTCAGCAAAATACCGAATATCTTGAGGTACCGTTATATGGGGGCTATACCAAAACGTGGATCTAAATGGCCCATTTTCAATACTAAAAGTCCTGCAGACATAATACACATTTGAGTAAATTTTTATCAACCTACTTCATTTCGTTCGGAAGCTAGAGTGATTTCCACAGACGGACAGGCAGTCAGACGGAACAACGTTGACATATAATTTTATTCTGATCAAAAATATATATACTTTGTAAGATCTAAAATTTAAACTTCGAGTTGTTACAAACGGAATGACAAACTAAATATACCCTCCATACTATGATGGAGGGTATAAAAGTAAAGTGGCGCCCAAGCCCATTCGCCATATATAAGTTAGAAAAACGAATTTTTAGATCTCTCTTTTCTACTTCTTCGTTATTTGCCATTGAAAATAATTCCATATAGAATATATTCGACCCTATCTACCTCATCTTATTTACTCCACAATTTTTTATTTTACCTCACTTCCTCTTACCTTGTGTACAGCATAAATTTGACATCATCTCGCTCCTTTATCTGGCAGCAATTCGAACAAAATCCCCTCGGTGTGGGACTATAAAATATTGGTGAACCAGCTGGAATGACAACAAAAAAACCATGAAAATTGTTTACACAATATTAAAGACTTAATTAAATAATGGCATAATTGAGTGGGATAAGTGGCTTTCGGATTTCAAAACACCCTGAACTTGAAAAGAATTCAAAACCGGTTTGCAGAAATGGTCAATAAACTAAAACTTAAGAAAAAAAACCTATCAAAACATTCTAAAAATGACTCATTAGGTTTTGCTGTTGGATGTGGAAGCACACAATAACCATTGGTATTTTAACAACAACAACATTAATAATAGATTTATTCACACATTGTAAAAACGTGATTTTCATATTTCTTTTGTTGAGTATTTTTTCTTGTTTTTTTTTATTTTTTTTTTTTTTTTTTTTTTGTTTGTTTAGAAATTGTTAAGTTAATCGATTACCACACAGAAATAAAGGCTTTGCCCAATGGGGGTAATTATCTGTTTTGTTTTTATCGCCAAATTCGTTGCAATAGTCAATGTTAAACCCTAAGGTTGGGTGGCTGCATTTATTCAAATGTCAAATTCATGCAAATTTGCTGTCGATGTGCCACACGATTCATTCATTCATTCATATTTTCGAGTGATTTGTTTTGTCTTGAAAATCTTTTGTGAAAATAACTGACCTTGACAATGACACTGGGCTACAGCTAATAGATATTTTACCTATTGTTAAATTATGTGAATGAAAAAGATATAATTTTTCAAGATCTAGGCTTTTGGAAATCTTTGGGATAAAAGGAGTCGGTAATGAAGAGGAGATTCCAGTTTGTGATTGTTTGTCTACAATCAAAAAAGTTTTGAATTTTCACTGATCCAAATGTTTTTGCACGATTTTTCAAACCAATAGAACATGCAGCCAATAAGTACGTCATTAACCTCAGCTCATCAACTGGGAGAGTTCATCAAATATTTATTATAACCTCAACAATATGGCTAAAGAGGGTATATATCATTTGATACGGCAAAAACGTGCCTCATCGAAATAACAGTGGTATACCCTAGGTCTCTCTGGACAAAATCCGTTTCAGGACATTTGGAGGCGATATAGCACTCGAAGGGATTATCCGATTTAGTCCAAACTTGCTACATCGTAATATCATTGTCAACTTTAATTCGAGTTCGGAGATGGGCAAAAACAGTCCACTCTTTCTGATATCTCCCCCACAAAGAGTCAAAATTTTGAAAATACATGAAGCTCATAAAACGCGAAATTAACTTCCGATTCCATTCAGACTTGGCAAATCTCAATATTTCCATATACACACGATCTATTATAAAGATAGTAGAGATCGAGCCATTTATTCTGATACCTCCCCCACAAAGGGCTAAAGTTTTGAATAACCAAAACGATTATAAAATCCGAAATAAACATACGGTTCTCTTCATATTTCACACATACCATTATTTCTCTTAACACAAGATCTGCGGTGAAGATGGGATATATCGGTCCACTCTTCCTGGTATGTCCACCACAAAGAGTCAACATTTTGAATATCCATGAAGCTCATAAAACATGAAATTAACATTCGATTCCATTTAGACTTGGCATGGGAGGGATCGGACCATTTCTTTTGCTACCTCCCTTACATAGGGTTTAAAATTTTAAAAAGCACAAAGAAAGCGAAATAAGCATCCAACTCTCTTCAAATTTCACACATCCAAACATTTAAGCTTACGCAAAATCTGTTGTGAAGATGATAGATATCTGCCAACACCTTCTGGTACCTCACCCACAAAGGGTCAAAATTTCCAATACTTATATCTGTCATAACTTCCAGAACAAGTCGGCGATTCTATACAACTTGCTATATCTAAATATTTCTCTTAACCAGAAATCTGATATGAATATGTAATTTGACGGAATTTATGATCTCGTATAAAATTGGACATAAATGTTGGATTTCTTTTAAATGTTGTCTGTATTAGATGAAGTGGAATATTTCGGTCCACTATATCTGGTACCTCACGCATATTTCCACATTTTCCAAAAATTTGCACATATACCATATAAAGTATAGGAAGTAGACGATATAGTTCAAATATGGCACGTTGTAATATTTATTTCAGACTAAGGTCTCATATGAATTGGACAATATTGACCAACTGCTTCGAAAACACCCCCCCCCCCCCAAAAAAAAAAGGGTCAACAGTGTGAATAATCATAACTTAAGGCTGGGGGTATAATTCTGTCGGCGAACCGACTGAGAAACAAACGGTAAATATAACATAAACACATTTTGACATTTCGTCTGATTATAAAAATGTATTGTAACACCTTATATATGTGTCTTCTTAAGACCTTCGATTGTCATCTGTTAAAATTGCTGTAACAGTTATACACAGCCTTAAACTAAAGAAAACCCACACACATTATCTCCTTATTTTCAACTGCCGCTTAAAAAATAAAACTTCCAACTCAGACACTTAAAAATATGTTTAGCACTTGTCCCTATTTTATGTTTAGGTGCTATAATAAAATACAACCGTATCTCATGGTTCGCTAAAATCGTTCACATTTGTAGCACCGTGTAATAATAACTACGTCACACTTTGACCATTACCATAATCCATGGCAAATTTAAGCAGTTTTTTTTGTCATTTCAAATATATTTTATGTCTGTCTGTGTATCTGCTTTTTTTCTCACATTCATTGTTAATGGGCTTGTTAAGACACCACGCTGAGAAGAAAAAAATCATCTTTATTTTTTGTAAAAAAAGGAAACATTTTTAATATGTCTCATGGAGTTTTGTGTGTGTTTTTTTTTCTTTTGCGCCTTCGCCTTCTGTCCGTCCGTCCGTCCATCCATCGCTCACTTCGTTCACACTACTAAATAATGGACTAAAAATGCGGAAATATATTTTTTTAATGTTGTATTTATTCATTTGCCGGTTAATGTGTATTAAATTAACACTTTTATGGTCATGACTGGCCATAATCAGAATGGCGCAAAAAAATGCCATAATAGCCGGGCAAAATATGAAAACTATTGGCCCGGCTACTGATTTGCATGACATCGCAACGTCATAAATGCCAGTGGCGAATTTCAATATGAATGTGAGAGTATCGGATCAGATGATCGTTTATTTGATTACTAATTTATTAGTTCTACAATCAAAAGAAGATCAATGTTGTGATATCAACAACATTTAGAAGTTCATGGCAAAAAAAATGTTGATTTGAATTGAAAATACAATACATTTCGAATAGCAAGGCCTAAAACTTTAGAGTTCAATACAGAGAGAATGGCATTGTGTCACTGATCTACAGAGATCAGACTTTTTATCAGGTTAAGAATGTCAATGTTTTGAATTTCTTTTGTCAATGCAAAGGTAACGAGGTAAGGTATGGAATTTATAGAATAAATAGTGTCATGAGAGAAAAGCGATCTAGATTCACGTTGAAATAACTAATGGAATAAGACACTACAAAAGAGAAATTTTGGTTGTCACATATAATTTAATGCTTATTGGGCGCCAACCAAGATTATTTTATGCCAATTTTTAAATACTTATTTACACTCTACAATAGATAAAATTAAGAAATCATATAGAATAGATATATGAAAATTATTATTTTAATGTTTGCGATTTTGAAATTTGGCTTGATGGTTACTATCTTTGTGCAGAGGAAAGGGGAGTTTTCGCATTATATGACCCTTATAAGTACTTAGTGTGTTATATGGGATTTAGGGTCTTTAGACGTTTTATTACGAATGTTGAACGGTTAGAATTCCGAGTTTAAGTATTATATGTATTTGGCGAAAATTAAAAAAAAAACCCTTGTTGTGGGACTGTCAACTATGAGTAGACCAGATAGGGTGATACCAAAATTTAAAATTTAACTTGAATAGGATTGAAAACCGGTTTGCAGACATGACAACAAACCTAAACTTAATTAAGCAAACAAAACTTTTTAAAAATAAGTCATTGGTTGCTGTTATTTGATATTCGATGAAAATAAGAAAAATGCAAGTCTGTAGTTGGATCTTATTGTGTAAAATATACACACAGCAATTGGTATTGAGCCCTCCAAACAGAGGCCAACTGCTCTTCTGGGAAAAGAGCTACTGCTCTTTTGGAAGAAGAGCTTCTGCTTTTCTGGGAGAATAGGTACTACTCTATTGGGAGAAAACCTTCAGCTCTGCTGGGAGAAGACCTTCTTCTCTTTTGGGAAATGACCTTCAGCTTCGCTGTGAGAAGAAAGTCAACAAGGTGACTCAAATCCCCTCACCGCCCTCCGAACAACTGTCAACTGCTCTCTTGGGAGAAGAGCTACTGCTCTCCGAAAGAAGAGCTACTGCTTTTCTGGGAGAAGGGCTACTGCTCTTCTGGAAGAAGACCTTCACCTCTCCTGGAAGAAGAGATCGATTGAGATGAAATTTTCCAAATAATATTTGTTTGGCCCAACGACGAACCCTACTGAAATTGGTGAGAATCAGTTCAAATTTAGATATCGCTCCCATTAATATATTCCACCGGTTTGGAGTTAATTGTGGACCAAATGGCCAATAACAGTGAAAAGGACCTGAATTTTGGCGCATCAGACCGAATTCAGTCTAGAAGCAATTACATCAAATTTATTGAAAGTCGGTTCAGATATAGCTTTAGCTTCCATATATATGTTTCATCCGATTTTGGGTTTTAAATCCCTCACATTCGTAATATGCATTCGACAAGAATGATTTTGATACCAGATATCTTATAGAGCTCGGAAATACCTTTCCCTAATTTTATCGAAGTCGGCTCAGATTTGGTTGTAGCTCCCATATATATCCCTAATCCGATTTCAGGTTAATTGTGCAAATAATGCCTAATATCAGCCCAAATGGAGTGAATTTCGGGACGTACATTTCCATTTGGTGGGATATGGCTCCGATATATTTTTTAATATAGCAATGTTATTTGGTAAAAAAGATAAAAATATCTCCGTCAAATTTAGTTCCCTCTGAAACCAAATTATAACTCCTCTTAAGGCAAATGTTGGTAGGTGGTATGATTTACTTCAAATAAATTCTTTTGTTACGGAAGCTCTACTTAATATACATAGTGGTGTAGGGTATCATATAGTCGGCTCCGACCGACTTTGGACTTTTCCTTACGGGTTAAATGTAGATTTATAAAAAAAAAACATTTTTCATGTACCGCTCATGGAAATTGAAGTTAGGGGATTAATCCTTTTTCTTTCATTATTGTGTGATTGGCGCCAATTCTATTTGTCCCATAACAGATAAGGTTACGAAAATCGACTTTTATATATTGTTTTTTAATTTCCAATTTAATTTGTGTTAAAGAAATATTTTTCGCAGAAATACCACAGATATCATGGAAGTCTCCCAAAATGAGGTTACATTTTAATCACTGGCTGATTTAATTTTGAATACGTTTATACTTCAAGAAGGACGAAAATCATACTTTATTAAAGATAGATTTCACTTGTGTCATGCCCTGTTTTTCACAATATTACGCCCCTTAGCCATATGTCAAAATATGAGATAAATCCTTTTATTTACCAATTAGTAACGTGAAGATGCTGCACAAAGCTGATGTGGCGGGTATAGGCATTGTTGCTTAATTTTATTTTTAAGTTTTATTCTACTTAAGAAACCAAACTACTTTTCAATATTTTCAAATAATTGTATCACTGACTTTTCATATTTCACAATTTTTATTTTATATATAAGCTATTATATTTGTTTATACACTTATTGATTTATTTTATTTTCTTAACAAATTGTTATCTTTTTTGGGAATGTTTTATTTAACCACTTATTAAAATTGTAACTTATTTGTTAGCAAAATATTTTCGTAAATTTTTTTCAAAAAATACACATAAATTCTTGTCCGAACTCAAAAGAATAACAAAAATTCTCAACAACCAATTCAATACGCGTTTCAAATCAAACTGATTGCTATAAAAACTTGCGAAATGACAAAACAAAACAAATAATCAAAATATAGCAGAGCCAAGCTAGACAACCAGACAGTCAGCCAGTCAGCCAGCGAGCCAAGAGCGCCAACCCCAGCAAACATGCCAGCACCACGTTGTTGACTTAACAATACAGCAACAACAACAATAAATAATACTATAAAATAAACAACCACAATACAAAAACAAAAAAAAATTGTTGCTGGTGTGCAACAAAGAAAACAACATAGAAGACATGTGTCTTCTTAACAAAATATAGAATATTAACATAGGAAGAGGAGAATAATTTGGAGAATAACAGAAGATTTTTTTGTGTGTTTTTGGTTGTAAGGAAAAGCTAGTTCAAAGAATTCATTTAGATGGTGGAAAAAAGTGAACGCTACTAACTCTGTTAACTTGGGCCCGCTAAATGGTGATGTCGAACAAACAGAAAACAAAAGACTTAAGACACGAACATCAATTCTCAGGCAATAGCAAATTATGCGTAACGGACAAAACATACATGAATGGACGGACAAAGTCCATTAGATGGATCGGTCGATGGTAAATAGATGGTGGCCAATAACACACACACACACATACACTTCTTGCAGCAAGAACAAAAATGTTAATTGTTTAATTACCAACAATAAGAGGGTGTTTACCAAATTGTTCTGCTCAATCAAGCGGGAGATAAAATAAAATATACAAGAAGAGCTATTTGTAAAGAAGCGGGCACCAACACTCCTCTGGAAAAAAATTAGCACAACATTGTAAATCAATAGCTGTTATTTTTTAATTATTGAAGACCACAAAAAAACAGAACTCCCACCCATCAGCCGTTAAAGAGCCTTCCCTCATATTTATTAAATTCTTTATCTTCGCATTGCTATTTCGTATTCACCATTGTTGCTGTCAACAATAATTGCTAGTCAATATGTAAATTTCCTACATACATGGCAAAATTTCCTACAATCCGGGTGTCGCGTGCTTCTGTCGCTTTTGAAAATATTTTGAAACAAAAAAAAATGTTAAACCATAAACCATTTAGCCTGTCGTCCATCAGACAAGTGGGGAATAAAATTAACAAATACTATGATATTTTCTTTTATTAAGCTCACGTAGTTCCGTATCGGTTCGCAGCGTACAACAAGAACAACAACAACAACAACGAATTTATACGTGTTTGTCATAGTTAAATGGATGTGTAAATTTTATTGCTCTCCTTAGAAAATTGTCAGCTATACTAACTACATATTTTTTTTTTAATTAGGATTTTTTTTTCTTTCGAAAACTTGGCATAGCATTGTTTTTTGCCAGCGAATATTTCCGTATCGGTTTTTTTTGTTTTTGTTCTAGTTTTAATCTAGAACATTTTTGGAAACATAGTTAGGAAATTTACTTTAAATTAAGATAAGAATCTGGCCGTTATTTCCTAGTCACAATGATTTGTGAAACAATTGAATGAAAATCGATTAGTTCTCTAAAACAAAATCTTAAGAACAAATCTAAGAATTCAAAGATGACTAATTCAAATTGTGGGAATTTTTTAGAAGCTTTTCGATATTCTGACTGAGAGAAACCCCCATGGAAGAGTTAAAGAAAAAACCTGTTTAAAAAAATAACTTCGAAAAAACAAAACTAGAGAGCAAAGTTCAATGGTGACCTGTCTTGGCCGTTTTTCTGAATGGCTCGTATATGACAGTAGTCTTGATTTAGAGATTTGATAGACATTTTTAAAGGAAATTGGAAATTAATTATCACGGTTTAGCTCTCAATTTATCCAAAATTTGACTTCTCCGAAAAAAGGGGCGAACTTTGAAGCATTATTGTATTTAGCTGGAAAGGAGGATAACACTTCTTAAATGTTTAAATTTGGAGGTATTGTGCTAGAGGGAATTTTAAATATTAAGATGTTAATAGGGGCTTTTTCTTTCTAAAATTTATTGGATATTTCCATTAAATCAGTCAGAAGTCCACGTTTTTTGCATATCCCGATATTATTGGACTGGTTAATTTTGCATTTTTCTAAGTTTGGTCTATACTTTTCCAACTATGTTCGAATTTTTGAAAAATCCATGAACAAATGATTGCAAACGTTTTAAATAAAAAATATGCATTTTGAGACCGCAAAAAACCTCAAACGTCCTTATGAAGCATGTGAGGAAACCTAGCATTTAAATTTATTTTGTATCGATTTCACTTATACTTTCCAATTTATGACATTGAAAATTCAGTTCAATTCTCTATAGGAATACTATTTTATGTTCTGAAGCAGTAAAACATCCCTCTACCTTTTGGTATCTCCCCATGCTTTTTTGAGTTTCAAAAATTAAACTTTTACTTCCCAATGGAACCTAACTTATTTTTATACCCTCAGCCATATGGCTAGAGAAGGGTATGTATCATTTGATACGGTCAAAACGAGCCTAGTCGAAATAACGGTTTTAGACCCTAGGTCTCTTTGGACCTAATCCATGGTGCGCACGATAACTCTTACAGGGAGTATCCGATTTGGTCCAAACTTGGTACATTGTAACATTATTATCAAACTTAGATCGAGTTCAGAGATGGGCAATATCAGTCCACTCCTTCTGGTACCTCCCCCAGAAATTGTCCACATTTTCAAAGAAAATAATTTACTGCACAGAAAGAGAAACGATAATCCCCTTTTTGCTCCAACTTTGCAGATCTTAATATTTCCGTCAGTGCTAGGTCCATCAAGTACCTCCCCACAAAAGGTCAAAATTTTCAAAAATTACAACTCTTATAAAATGTAATGTAAGTGTCCGATTGTCTTCAAATTTCACACATCCCAATATTTTTATTAACCCAAGGTCTGGTGGGAAGATGGAATATATCGGTCCACTCCTTCTGGTACCTCTCCCACAAAGGCTCAAAATTTTGAATATCTATGGAGCTTTTAGAATAGGGAATTAACCTCCGATTCCATTCAGATTCGGCACATCTCAATATTTTCATCAACACAATATTTGTTATAAATATTGTAGAGATCGGACCATTTCTTCTGCTACCTCCCCCACATAGGGTTCACAATTTTGAAAAACAAAACGCTCAAAGAAAGCGCCCATCCAAATATTTTTACTACCGTCTGATACTATTTTACTTGTTTTGTTAAATATCAATTATAATTATTATTTGCGACTGCTGTGATTTCAAAATCAGATTTTATATATTTCTAATTTTAGCACAAAAATATAACGAATTTGAAATTATGAAAATATTACAATACCAAATTCCAAAATTTTCTAAGTCAAATTTTATTGCCTAAACCTTTGTTGTCTAGATGAGAATAAAAAACTGACAGTTGTAGCTCCACCTCAATTTGAAAAGTGCCACAACTATTGTCTAGTCATGTTTACCCAAGATATTCGCACCAACTTCAAGCCGCAAATAAATATTTATTGTGGCGGTTTGATGAGACAAAGGTCATTCCAATGTAACCACACACTTCAGACTAAGGTCTTTGCTGTTAGCACATCAATAGAGTCGATGGCGGCAACGCAATTGAAAACAAAATAAAATTTCAATTTTAATAACATATTTCAAAATCACAATTTAATATGATTAATGAGCTCCAAATAGAAAATAGTTCAATAAAACTATTTTAACGAAGCAAATCCCCTCAAATGCAATAAAAAGTGTTAAATGGCAAAACTTGTTTAAGAATTTTATTTTTCGCACACACAAAACACTCGGTGCGGTTCAGACAATGAAGTAAGTTCAAGTGTGAGCCAAAAGGTTGTTACCCTAAGTGGAGAAGCAAAAAAAAAAAAAAACAAAAACAACGAAACTTCCAGTGTCCGGTTAGCTTTTTATGAGGAACATAATGCACAGACATTGTTTCCACTGCCAATGACCCGAAATTAATGGGAAATCGTAGATGAAGTCATCTGGAATTGTCTTTTTACTGAGAAGTTCTCCAAGGTTGAGTTGTCCAATACATTTTTAACTCAAGACCGGTGAACAATGGTTTTCAACGACCAACCAATATCCTATATCATTTTTCACTTTCAATGCGAAAATTGAATAATGGATTAAAATTAATTAATAATATTATGTTACTACTATGCTACGCACGGCGGTGCGCAATACAGTGGAACCCATTTAGTATTGAAAACATATTTATTTTACCATAAATGTCTTACTTTCAAATTCTGCCTCTCTCTCTCTCTCTCTCTTCGCAGTTCCACAGTGTCGAATAAATTTCTTAAGAGGCGGTGGCCCCAAGATTCCCTAATTAAGCTCCCACTGTAACCCATTGTTGTTGTTGTTTTCCAATAGAGAAATGCCACTAAAATTAAAACAAATTATCTGTCTCGTAATAATTAATCAAAGTAAGCTGTTGGGCGCCAACCTGCCAATCACATTCAGCCTAACCACTAATCATCGGTTGCAAACCACTTTGAAATCGAACAAAAACAACAAAAGAAACACAACGGTAATAATACCTTGACATTGAATTGAATCAACCGGCTTTGATGGAATTAAAACAATTCGTTAAGCCTCAAATAACAACAACAACGACAACACAGAGCATAAAACTAAAAACAAATCGCATTGAACGACGAAGTTATAGCATAAAACCGCTATGTTGTTTTTTTTTTTACAAAATCTCTTTTGTTTATCGCCGTTGCTTATCTTCTTTGGACTTTGAAGCAGAGATCAAATATTTTGAGCATTGAAATTAAAATAGAAGGGGGTGTGCATTTAAATGACCTTGACCAGAATGTCCGAAGGAGTAAAAGTAATGAAATTTGAAATACGTGATCAAAAGACTATTGGGTTAAAATTGATTTAAACTTCGAAAATAAGTAAATATAAGTCGAAACAGCAAACAAAAGAATCAGCAAAGATAATTCTGACAATGCCGAGTTGATTAAAAAATGACTGTAAATTAATGGTAGTTTCGGATGAAGAGACATTTAATTTGTTTTGATTTTTTATCCAAAAAGTTTCAATCAATTCATTCCAATATGGAAGTTTATTATTATTATTATTATTATTATTATTATTATTATTATTATTATTATTATTATTATTATTATTATTATTATTATTATTATTATTATTATTATTATTATTATTATTATTATTATTATTATTATTATTATTATTATTATTATTATTATTATTATTATTATTATATAAACTTTGTTTTTATATAAATTGTTATTTATATAAATTAAACCTGTCGCCTTTGCAAAAACGAAGAATATCAAGTTATCTCATCTTCATATCGACACACTAGAGAAAACATCTTAATCCAAAGCATACTTTTAGGGATGCAGCAATGTTAATGGCTTAAATGTAATAAATGTAGCATTTACTGTTAATCTTAACATCTCTGTTATAAACATTGTATAAAATAAATTAAAAAAATTATTTCGTTACTCTTTTCAGGATAAACTACTTAGCAAACTAGAGGAAAGCGAACCAGATCCACCTACATCCCAGGAAGATGAATGTGTTATTTGCATCAATGCCCGGGCGACCATGCAGACATCACCTTGTGGTCATCGTGTCGTATGTCGGCGATGTTTCGTCAAGACCATTCAGAGTGCGGTGGCACAACGTTTGTTGCCGCTGCGCTGTGTTATTTGTCGGGCCCGTGTCAATCGGCTGACATCATCCAGTGGAACATGGCGTATTCAGGTAGTATTAGACTACATTCAATAAATAACAGTTTATAATGGAAAAATGGTTTTTTGTTTAGGAATCAGCCAGCAGCTATTCCATGGGTGGCAAAAGCTGGGCTTCCGTCGGTGTGTCCGCCGACGGTGTAGCCCCCTCGGCCAGTTCGTATTCCATGAATGATGCCCACAGCGGTCATCACAGTTTCCATTTGCATCCCTCACGCTTTCCCCGTAGCCCAAATGGTCGTGTCTCCCAATCGGATAGCCTGTATTCGATGAGTTCGACCGGTTCGTCGTCGGCAGCTTCTGTATTCTCGAAAACGTCTTCCATTTCAAGTGATTTGTGTTCACCAGCCTCGCCTATATCGCCGACAACTTGCTCGTATAATCAAACATCGATGGTGTTGAACAACCATTTGGCACCGCCCACACCAATCATATCACCCCACTCGCCAACTTCCACATCGGGTTCGGGTACATCCGGAGGTTCACTGTCACCCAAGGATTTGCATGTGCACTCGCATCACAGCGGCTGTCCTAGTGGTTGCTCTGGAGCCATACCTAGGAAACCTCTAAAATCGTTAAGCAATTCATCTTCCAGTGGTTCGTGTAGCAGCAGTAGCGGCAGCACTTCCTGCAATCAATATGTGGCACCCTCGACACACACCTATCCGGGGAGGAGACACACCAAGGGAAAATTGGTGGAACTGCAAAATCGCCTACCGCCCATCAAGGAATTCCGCAGTCCAGCCAAGGTGCCACATCCATCACCGGTCCACATAAGTAATCCAAGATTTCGGTAGGTTTATGGTCCCGATAATTCCAAGTTGTATTCCTTCATGTTTGTTTTCCAAATTCCAGTTATGCTTCCTACACAAAAACCACGCACGACAATGCCAGCAGCAAGGAACCTCCATCGCCACCCAAAAGACCCATGAACATTCACATTAGTGCTTCCCACAATACTTTGGCTCCACCACCCTTGAAAGCCGGTGCTAATGGCAAAATTAGCCCTTTGGCAAGCAAACATCAGCTATCGAAGTCAGCTCACAGCGTTTCAGCTGGCAAAGACAAGAAAACTTCCTCCGCCTACTCGAGCTTGGATAGCACAAAGAACAATAATTCGGCTAAAATTAGCCACAACAACAAAACGGCTGCCTCCACAAATAATATTTCGCTAACGAAATCTTCCTCCGCTTCTACATCCGGTCGTCATAGCCAGTCATCAAATTCAACGACAGGGGCGGCGACAACGACGGCCACGACAACATCTGGATTTTCCACGAGTAAAAGTTTTCCATTGTTCTGCAGCAACAACAACAATAATCACAGTAAGTGGAATTTTTGTTTTCGTGTTTATTCGGTTTGGTGTGTGTGTTCGTGTTTTAATTTTTGTTCGTTTGTAGATTTTTATCCAAAACAAAACGCAAAAGAGTAGCCGGGTTTTATTTTTATTTTATTCGAAAAGGGAAAAAATTATCCACAATAAATAACAGTGAATGGAGAAACGGGGAAACTATGGAGTTTTGGAATAAAATTCTTTTAGAGGACAATATTTAGGTAGTATATGAAAATTATACTTAAGATATATGGTGGAATATTCAAATTGATTGTCGGATTTGATTTTGTAATGACAATCTGTGTAAACATTGCACAACAAATTAAATCTGAAGATCTGTTTTGTTTTAATATAATTTTCTTTATTATTGGATTTTACGTTATTGACGAATAACTTGCCTGTAGTCCAAATTCAGATCATATTTATAAGAAGAATTTCATGCTCGATTTTTGAAGGTATGTTTCTTTGAACTATTTCCCATTCTTGAGTCTATTAAAAGGATTTTATCCTCAAAGTGTTTAACATGGCCCATATTTTGGCCATTTGGTATTAATTTTCTACAATCATCTCGTTATCTACATTTCGAGAGGCACTCAAAAGTTTGCCACCCTCATTTTTTGCTTCCCCTCTCTTCATTACTTTATAGTTTCAAAATAACCTTTTCTAATCGGATTACGGATTAACTGCACATTTTATCTCTTAAATCTCCATTGCAGAAGAAAAGTCAGACAATAAGAAAAATGAATCGGTCGAACGTAGAAAGGAGGAAAAACTTAAATTGAAAGCAGACAAAGAAGCAAGAAAGGTAATTATTTTTTCTTTTCTTGTTCTCAAAGCGCTTAAAATGTCTTTGGATAATCGCTTGATTTTTCGTTTCAATTGCAGGAAGAAAAACGCCTGGCCAAGGAGGAAGAACGCTTGGCAAAACTTATGGCCAAAGAGGAGAAGAAGAAAAGTAAAAAAGAAGCCAAGGAACTGCTGTTAGCACACGATGGCAATTGCAAAAAATAGAGCTAAGATTAAGTAAAGCAATTAGAGAAAAACCAAAAAGAAAAACACGACAAAGATAAATGTAGTAATGAATATGCTTTGCAAAGAAAAAAGAGGAAACCTTATACGTGATATTAAAAGGGAATATGGTGTGTAAATACAGGAGAACTAACAAACAAGCATATATGATGGGGTTTTATGTTCAACATGTGGGATTATTTAAAAAAAAAATGATTTTGAAAGAAAAAATCTGGCATGTTAAAGAGTAATTCATTTTATCTCCAGTTTTAATACAAAATATGGTATTAAAAATGGAAATATGAAGGAAATACCAACACAAAATCAAACATCCTGAAAAATCCCCATAACTTGAAAGTAATATGAGAAAGACGTATTTTATCATTAACTAGAAATATGTTTTAACCAAAATCCCCATTTATTTCTCAAAAAATTTTATAAAAAAAAAATACTAACCTATGTCATATTATTATATAAGCTATTGATAACAACGACTTTTATTCAGTAATATTTTAAATGAATCAATTTTCATTTTTTTTTCTGTTTCATGAAATACAACCATTTTCTTAACAACAATATCATTATTCTCCATTTAGAAATTTCTCTTAATGCCAAAATTCACTAAACATTTTTCAAATTTAGTTTTAATGAATTTGAATTTAATCATGCTATTTTTATGTTAATTCCGTTTCCGTTTCTCTTCCTTACACATTTTATAAGCTTTAGCCAATAGATTTGTTTCTATTTATCTATTCTAGTGTTCTTTATCAGTTATCATTTAAATAATTCACCGGAGGAACGCTTTTTCTTTTGGCAGCACTTTTGTCACAGTGTTTTTTATAATAGATGAAGCACCCTGTTTATCCAAGTATTTATTTTAGACCGTTATTACACCTTACAATTTGTTTTTGGTTAAGGATTTTTAGGAAAGATCCCTAGCTTACTTTAGCTTAAGAATTTTTAATTCAGTATTGTATTGATTTTTTTGATAATACCAAAGCCTACTTATAGGGTCGCCCAGAAGGCGAATTTGGACTATGGTCTTCTCTTGCTGTCAAAACCGAAGAATTATTTAAACGTTATACACGGGTATTTCTGAAAGTAAATAATTTATCATGAATATAATAGGTGTGTCTGGTTACTTTTCCTGCAGGAAAATTTACAGCAACATCTTTCTGAGAGAGGAAGGTAGTTTTATTCTCTTTTCCAAGGAAAATTCGAAAAATAAACAGTAGCTTGCAACTATTCTGCTGATTTGTCAAAACAAACCAATTCGTCCCACATTTAAAGAATTAAAAGAAAGGAAGCACCACTAATTTTAAAAGTTTCATAAATAAAAATTAAATTTGAACGAAAATAAAAATATGAGCAATAAAAGAAAAATAGATTTGATGTGTTCCCCGGAATCCTTTGAATGGCATTTGTCAAAAAATGTTGGAAATATGCATTCATTTTCTTATTACATATTAACCCTTTCAGTGTCAATGAAAATTTTTGTCGAGATAAAAATTTGAAATTCCGTACTAATTTACTAAAATGTGCTCAGAAATTCGAAAACGAAACTAATAGAATATAACTGCAATATTTTTAAATAGCGAACGTGTCTGTTATTAAAAAATATCAAAACTAACGGTTCGTAAGAAAAACAAAAAATGGCAAAGAAAGAGAGTACTTTTAAATGTCAAATATATTTGACAAAAACACTGAAAGGGTTAATATTTACGTTTTTCACATTTTGTAAAGTTGTTCTCCAAAAACAATTAGTCTTGCTAATTCCAAATTGAAAGCACAAAAAGAAATAAACAAATAATTGAAAACATCTGATTAAATGTCTATGAATGAGAAGAAGAAGAGTTGCAAGCGATTGCAAGAAGAAATTTGTCCAGCAAGAATTTGCAAACTCTCACTGCAAGAACTGTCAAAATCTCTCTCCCCTACTGCTCTCTTTTGCAGAACTTTCGGCTTAACAGACGACAATAGTTACAAATTTTAAGGTAACCAGACATAACTATTGTCCAATGAATAATTTTGTAAACATTTTAAAGATATGATTGCATGTCTTGATCTTCTTAATTCTACCATGCTAATTACTATGAATCTCTCCTAAAAACCCCAACCCAAAACCAGCAATGGATCCAATAATGATTTAAGTTATATATTTGTTTCCCTTAAATGCCCCAATTTTAAGGCTCCTATAAATAAACAATGGTTTTGACACTTTTTTGCAATTGACAGGAAAATAAAAACAATAAAAAACTTGTTTTATTTCATGAGTTTTGTTTACATAATAAAAAAATGTTCTAAAAGAAAAACTGTTATAAAGCCAAGTTTTCACAATAACACATCATCAACTCAACAAATATGCACAGACATACACTTTCAAAAACACACTCACACACATAAAGGAGTGCCAAATGGTTTAATTTTCCTAGGTTGAGAAAAAAATAAAAGAAACAAAGACTTTTTGCACAACTCTTGTAGAAGAGAGTTCAGGACAAAAAGTACTTATGTTCAATTATTTATTTATTTTTTTTATTAAAATCCCCCTCTTGTCATTTCATTTTGTATTCATTTTGTTCACAAAACAATTCAGATTTCTGTAATAATGTTCCATTAAGAAAAGGTTGTTTAATATTAAAAAAATTAATACTACTTTAATAAAATAAAATCACAAAAAATTAACCCAGTTAAAAAAAATTTGCTAAAACAGAAAAACTGAAGTTTAGAGAACTTTTAGAATTTGAATAATGTTAATTATTTATATAATAAAACAAATCACATATATAATTATTATAGAATACAAAAGACGTTTTTAAACAAACCAAAAAAGAAATGTCCCTAAAATCGTTTTTTAACCAAGCAAAACAAAACAAAACATGTTTCAATTGTGTTGTTATTGGCAAAAATATATTTTTTATTTAGAATTAAAAAAAACAAACTAACAAATTATTTATTAAATAAATGATATTCTAAAGTAGATTTCATATTTAATCGGGTTTGAAAAACAACAACAAATTAAATTATAGAAAACAACATATATTTAGTAACTCCAAAATGAGAAACATTTACCCATAATTATGAAAAAAAAAAACCAAAACGTTCATCAAGTTCGTAAAACATTTCTCAAATTACGTTATAACCAGAAATGAAAAGCAATGTTTTTTCTAAAAAAAATAACAAGAAAAGAGACACAATTATGGGAAATATGCAAAATACTTACAAGAAAACAAGAGCAACAAATGTTATACATAAAAACATGTATAAAAAGGTAATATGATAAAAGAGAAAATAAAGAAAAACAGCCATGTTATTTAGTTACAAAATATTGTCAATTTTAATGTTAATTTTATTAATTTTGAGAAGCAAGTAAGTATAGGTCTGTCTGGCTACTTTTCCTGCAAGAATTTTCTAGCAACTACTTTCTGAGAGAGTCATGTGGGTTTATTCTCCTTTGTCAGAAAACTATGAAAAGTAAACAGTTTGAATCCTTGTTGCTGATTTGTCAATACAAAACAATTTGACTGACATTAAATGAACACAAAAAAGAAAATGAACTTTGTTCTTAAAAAAACATAACAATTAGGAATTAGGAATAGAATTTCAAAATAAAAACTACCGGATACAGGCAAAAAAAAAAGAGTTGCAAGTGATTGAAATAAGAAATTACAGAAATATGTTGACAGTTCTCTCTTGAATTATTAGGTGTGTCTGGTTACTTTTCCAACTACTCCTTTCTGAGAGAGTAAGGTAGGTTTTATTCTCTTTTGACAAAAAACTATCAACAGTAAAATAGACGGAATCCCTGCAGAAAGTATCAAGCAATCAGCTGATTTGTCAGAACGAAGTAATTTGTGCGCAATAAACAGTAATGAAGCAGAATGAAATTAAAAATGAACCGAAATTAAATTAAAAATGAACCGAAAAAATAAAGCAACCAGCCTTACGATTCCCAAAATAAAGGTGTTTTTAAATTGCTTGCCCAAATATAAATCTCTGGAAGGAAGAAAAGCAAAAATTTACAAAACCTCAATGGAACTGTTAAAATGTCTCTCTCAAATTGTGTTAACAGACGACTTCCAGTGACAATTTGCAACAAACTTTATATGGGAGTCATCCCAACCATTATATGGTGCATACAACTCCTCCACACCGGCGTGTCAGGAACGACCATATAGACCATGTACTATAGAGGGAGGTCCAATGCTATAAGAGAAAACCTTTAGATCAAGAAGCCTATCAGGCAGATCTGAGTGGTATTCACACCGATGCAGTCGCAGATGACATCAGCAATTACAGGATGAATGCCGTCCTCGGAGGCCATTCCCATCTATTGCAGCTGAAGAACATCAGCTGCCTAGACAAACCAGGGTAAATTTGGCGCAATTATGTTCAGGATGGTGCAGTCGTCTCAATTCGTATCGGGCACGAATTGACGAAGACGTGTGATACAGGCCCACACAATACGCTGTACTTCTTTAATTGCACCGCCAAACCTACCTAACTCACTCCAGACGATCTCTGGTTACACCCACTAAAGGTAGCCGAGTTTTTCAAACTAGAGCTCGAACCAGATAAGTAGAATACAAACATCTACATGTACTACTGCTACAACAACAAACTTTACACATGCGAGAATGAAAAGTAAAACCTATTAAAAGCTGAAATTATAGATTCCAGTTAGTCAAATTTAAAAGTGCTTCGCAAAAACCTCAAAAATTTCCAGACAAGTAGGGTGAGAATTACAAAATTATCAATAGATTCTAACTATTGTACGTGGTCATTGGCCATTTTAGAGCAATCTCTGAGTTCTACATCATTAATAAATTCATATTATTCTCCTTATTATACTTTCAAAATCTTTTATTCATTATCACTACACAAACCAAGATTTTGAATTTAAATTTTCAAAATCTTTTATATAGGTAAATTTGGAAGACTTTCTGCCTTGAGAAATGGTAATACGAAATAGCATCCAACTCCATTGGGGAAATCTTGTGAACACCTTAAAAACTAAATGAAACTGAATTGTTTTTAAAAACATAGCTATTAGGGAGCCATTTTAGAATATTATCTCCATCTACTTTCTCCATTCACTTGAAAAAATCTTCCTCAAATGTTCACTTTTCACAATTTAATGCTCCATTACTACCCTTAATACTCCACCTTCATTCCGATGTTTTAGGCATAAGTTTACTGATTTATTAAATTATGTTCGATATAAAAAATAAAACTTAAAATATATATTAATAAAAAATGAATGGCGAAGTTTGCTCATTAAACTCTAAATATCACTTTCAGTTGGCACCATAAGACTTCAAACAAAGTTCCAAATCAGTGGCGTATTTGTGGGGTAAATCACCACCGCAGCCATAACCGCCCAGCTTATGGATGGCAGCATAATCGAAACAGTTGACAGCACCGTCCTTGTTGCAATCCTGGCCGTATTTGAGCATATAGTTTTGGATGGTATTGGCGGCACAGTAGGGATCATTTACACAGTTGGCATAAGCTGAAACAAAAAAAAACCAAGAAAAAATGACGTTAAACATTAAAAAAAATATTTGCACTGTTGCAGAACCTGCAAAAATCGTCAATGGTGCGATTTTATCGATATCGTAAAGGGAAAATAAGTTATCGTAACAAAATCTCTTACATTCTTGCAGTTCTGGAACAGACCAAATATCTGCACTGTTTCAGAACCTGCAAAAATCTACAAATTTGTAATTTATTTTTGCTATCATAAAAGCAAAATCGATTTTCGGAATAGACACTTTACATCCTTGCAGGTTCTATTATCTACTCAACTTACCAGTTTCCGATTCAGCAGGTTCGCCATTAATTGTAAGTTTGCCGCCATCAGCCCAATAGGCCCATGTAATGCGGAACAAACCACAAACACCGCCGGCACAATAGTTCGTTTGATTACAACCAGATGAGGCCTCACAGATGCAGCCCAAACAAATATCTGTCACTGGTTTTTCTAGAAGTGAAAAAAAAACAAACAAATAAACAAAACATTTCAATGTCAATAATCAAGATTGCTGATAGATAATAAAATTATTGTATTTATTAGCTAATAAAACAATTATGCAATTACATGCATTCCATTTCTGAGAATTTCTGTTTGGCTGGCTGACCTATAATCTACGAAAAAAAAAAAATCTCATCCAATTTCACCTTGTTAAAATGTTATCAGCACTTTGGTGACCTAAATTTTATTTGCGTTCGTTTTTTTAATCTTCCCATTTGTCGTCAGTTTTTGATTTGATTTGAATATATTCCGAGAATGTGAATTTCAGGTTCTTTGTTGTTATTGTTGTTTATAAAAACAAAGTCTGGGACAGTGAATGAGTTTAGTATCGCATCATCATCAATAAATTCCAAAATAAATTTCTCAAATCAAATACAACACCTAAAATCCATAAAATTTGATATTTCATTACACATCACTGATGATTTTGATTACTAAATAATTGAAATTAAATTGTAAAACGTAATTTCGCATGGGACCATTAACATTTGTAATTTTGTTGTCACTCGAATTTGTTGTGAATTCTATTTAAATGTAATCCTAGAGGCTTACATTCACAATTCATAATTAATGCATTTTTTTATTGTGGCCAAACACTGTGCAACATGTAAACATTCATTACCGGATTAGATTAACATTCAACTCAGAATTTAATTGTTGGTGTCAATCTAATGAAGACCACATTTTTTTATTATTTTGACACTTACAATTAATCAATTGCCAATATTCATGACTTATCGATGCTATATGCTAACATTTCCTCACTATTGGCCTCATCAGGTTAGAGAGGACACACATCAATTTGAATAAAATTAATTTGAATTGACAATTACTACAACTTCCTGTCAGATTAAACAAAAAATAAAAATAGGAAAGATACTCGTTTTTACAAGATTATATTTTCCCCCATTCTCTTATGTTATTTAGCCTTTTTTTTTGCTATACTAAACTCTACTTAGTTGATAATGAACGCCCCTGAACCTTGAAGTGGAAGAAAAATGATCTTAACTCTCGTCTGCCGGCTGGCCGTTGCTTGCGATGATATGCCTGAGGTAAGAAGTTTCAATGTACAGCAGATATGTTGCTATCTTCAATTTGAATGACAACAGCAACAAGTTTTGCAACTTTTCCAAAACCTGACAACCAACATCCACAGTCATTTAACTGTATTCTGGCTTGGAGGAATAACTAAAACACTTTAGACAATGGCAGGGTGCATAAAGCGGTAAGCACCTTTTTTCAAGAGGCATGCCAAGTGGTGGAACTGCATTTCCAGTGAATTGAGATCGTTTTTACGACGACCTTCAAAGAAGTTCAATGTAATTTGCGTTTTTAAGTATGGAGGAAGGCTTACCAGGCAATTGATTTTAATATCTTATGTTTATTCAAAACGCTATTCTTCTTGGGAAAGACCATTACCATAATTTAGTCGAACAATAACGACACAGATTAGCAAAAAGTAATTCAAAATTTTATAAAAATAATCTTACTAGACATGGCTGATATACCAATAAAAATCAGACTCAGTCTTAATTGCATTTGCCTGGACTTAATTGCATTTGCCTAATATCTCTGAATAACCATGGGCTGGGTTAAAATACTTTAAGCTATCAGAAATTGCTGGCTAAAAATCAAAAATGCTATATTCCAGAATATGGCCTATATAAGGTAGGTCGAAAAGCCCATCTGACAACTCTTCGCTTAACATATTTTGTGACATATCATAAAGGGAAGCCATAGTCGGATTCGAATTTTGCCATCGTTTCCCTTTATAATTTGACATTAATATGCATAGTCATGATGCCAAGCTGTTTATGTACTTGCACCTTAATTTTCCAGTCAAAAGACATAATTGCGATCTGAAATTCAAAGGGAGTCAAATCAAACAACCAAATTTATTGTCAAACTTTTGTCTTCTTGACTGACCTTATGTAGGTCTTGTTCCAAAACTAAAAATAACCACACATTTTTACTACAATAACACATTCTACCTTGATAATATCAAAAAAATAATAAATTAGAACTAAGTTGCGGATTCTGGAACGGAAATAAACTGTATTAAGAATCATTTACACGGATGAAGTTAAATGACCCCCAAATGACATGAATTATTACTCCCTCCCCATTGGAACGGTAATATTTCTTTCAAACTAATGTAATAAATTATTTGCAACTGGAGTGAAAGGGGAGTGACAAATGCTGGCGGCAATTTAAATCATTGAATGATAAATTTCTTTTTTGTTTCGAATTATTTACGGGAAAATTTGTTATCGGAATTTCAAGCAAATAAATAATGATCTGGTTTCTCTTTTTTGGAATACCACAGCAACAAGATATGAATGCAAAATGGATTTTTTGACAAAAACAACAACAAAATTATAAACAAAATCTTAGTCATTTTTGTTCACTTCATACAGGCAACAAACAAAAATTGTTTTCATACAAATTACTTTTCAATTGAAAGAGGCTAATAAGGCTTATGATGACAGACAAAGGTGTGGGTGGACAATAATATTGTACATTTGTTTTTTGTCTCTACATGAGAAAATAATCAGCTTAACAATTATTCAATTATTGTTTTAATGACCTATTTCTTGAAAAAACACAATAATTTATTTTTTATACGTGAGCTAAAACCCCAGGCAACACTCATGTTCAAAAAAAAAAAACATATAAGTGATTTCTAGGTCGGTCATGTTTTTGTTGGAGTTCTTTAACCTTTGTTATTTTCCTACTATCATGTTATGAATTACTAATTATCATATTTCTGGTAAATAAATGTTTCAACAGAAAAGCCAAGATCTTTTTAGAATTTCGTCTAAGTATTTTTAGGTTTTTGGGAAATCCCTTCTATACGGCAATGAAACATAAGCTTGGCGACTGATAGTATCAACGTGAGTTTGGGAATTTTTTTATAACACCATATCCCATTGTAGTTGTTATTTCATGTTGCATGACGTTTGTTCAAACTTAAATTGTTGTTAGATAATTATCTTTCATATATTAGTCTCGAAGCCAATTTAATTCATTAAGAGTTAATTTCCAACGAAACAATATTTAAAAAACTGGTTTTATAATACAAAGCTAATAATATTTGTATACAAAATTGAGAACTTAAAAAATATTTAATAAAAATGCTTTATATTTAAACATAAAGCATATGCTTATAACCAAAGATTGTGTTTTTTCCCTCGTCGTAAAGTACCGAATACATTTATTTTCCCACCAGCAACAATTCATAATTCATAAACAATAAAATTGTACATTGTCTATGTCATCCATTTAATTTCATTCACTATCCACCTAAACGCGTGGAATTTACAATTTTATCGTAAATAAACACACACACACAACTGCCATTGTATTGTTTATATGTACATCCGTTAAGAACACCGGTTAATTCGCACTGAATTGTTAATAAACCAATGGTGCTAATCGTCTAAAGAAATTATTTTGAATAAGAAAAGAAACGGGTTTAGTTTTCATTGTTACTCCCAAACGGAATTTGTTTATTCGTCTTTGATAGACAAAACAAAAAACCCACAAGATATCAAACTGATTTGTCAATATAAAAATAAACCGATTGGATCATAAAAAAGATTAAAATTTAAAAGATTCTAAGAACTTTCATACAAAAAAACTGGATTTTTCGTCGCTTATCAAAGATGTATTATAAATCGATTTAGATTCATATTTTCAATGAAAATTACTCATCCTATTGTTCTAATTTACATACCTTGGGCAAGAGTTATTGCAAACAACGCCAGACACACAACACTGGCCACGGTGAAGGCATAGAAACTTTTATTGGACATTTTGTTGGTTTATTGTTTATTTAACAGTTATTTCTTTTATTTATTAAACACTTTTTGTTTCGACCAATTTCTAACAACCGCGTTTTGGGATTTGCAATCAATGAACCTCAGCTCTTGATAAACGTTTTTAAACTAAAATAATTTTTCGCTTTCCTAGATTTTTAAATCGCTTCAATATTTGGTTTAAAAGCTTTTGATATGAGCTTTCTCAAAGTTTTGTTTGGAACGCTTTAGCACAAAAGACTTAAGAAGCAAGCGTTGATTCAAACAACATTCAAAAGCTTATGACTAACAGAAATTATACAAAACGACCAAACTCATGAAAAGTGTTCACTAAGGACATTAAAATATGTAATTTTTATCCTTGGCCTGTTCCAGAACTCCAAGAATGTAAAAGTTTTTCCTACGATAACCGATTTTCCCTTTATGATATCGAAAAAATTGCAAAGCTAGTAGATTCTTGCAGGTACTGGAACGGAGCACCTTTCAACAAATATTATAGCCGTTCATTCTTTCGGAGTACCATCTACAAACAATGCCTACAAAAGCGATACAAAACATCGTGATTTTGCTGAACAAAATGAATTTAACATGAATGAATTTGAACTAGAAGATAAATTTATCGGTACGTTTTTGGTACTTTACTTAGTGGTACTTAATAATAAACAAATATAATCTTATCTTATATAACATTTATACAATTCAATGAGAATTTTCAGAAAGGATTAGTGAAATAGTACGTAATAATTACGAACTCTTGAAACTAGAAAAATTAATCTCCTTACAGAAAGTTTGTCAAATAGAAAACAATTTTTACTATAGATATATAAAACACGTAGAGATGGTACCGCACCCAACGTTAAGCTCATGTAATTCCACCAGTTGATTTCTAAATAAGAATCAAATCCAAAACCCAATCAGCGTTAAACTCATGGAATTGCACCAATTGATGTATAAATGAGAATTAATTCCAAAACCTATCCATAAAACCCTGCGTCACCAACAACACCCGAATTAATAACACAAATAAGCATTTTCTTGCTCAAATTATAAAAGAAATCTCATTGTTTTATTTGAAACCACAGTTAGTGTTACACCTTAGATCTTGTTGAAGGCAGCAATGTCAACAGATTGAACGAAATCTTCGAATTCTTGAATCTTTTCAGTCAACAAATCAATGGAGACCTTGTCGTCTTCAATGACGCACATAATTTGCAACTTGTTGATACCGTAACCGACTGGAACCAACTTGGAGGCACCCCACAACAGACCGTCCATTTCAATGGTACGCACATTCTTTTCCATTTCTTTCATGTCGGTTTCGTCATCCCATGGCTTGACATCCAACAACACGGAAGACTTGGCAATTAAGGCGGGTTTCTTTGATTTCTTGGCGGCATAGGCAGCAACACGTTCTTCACGGATTCTGGCGGCTTCAGCATCTTCTTCTTCATCGTCGGAACCGAATAGATCGACATCATCATCGTCATCGGCTACTGTGGGTTTGGCACCAGCAGCTTGTGGCAAAGGAGAACCACCCCAAGCAGCTTTTTCGGTGGCATCGAAGGATGCAATGTGTTTGTACCAACGGAGAACGTGTGGGAAGTCACCAGAAGGAGCCTTGCCCAAGGCTTCGAACACAGAAAGATCAGCTTTGCTTGGTTCATAACTGCAATGCAAAAAAATTGAATAACGTCATCAAAAATGCCGACGTTTCTTTTCAAACATAACCTCAAATAGGAGATGCCAGCCAAACTACTTACCCGCTGATGTAGCTGTTATCGGCCAAGAAATTGTTCAATTCCTTAAGACCTTGTGGGGTTTTAACATCACCGAAAGCCATCTCTGTTTATTTATTTTTAAAAATATAAATTAAAAACTTAAAATTATCTGGTTCGTAGGCCAAAGTCTTCTGCTCGCCAAAATCCACAACCGGAAAGAACGTGGGTACGAAATAGTAGAGCTGGCAAACAATCGATGGCACAGTCGGTCAATCGATTGCATTTATGTATCGATTATCGCTCATCAGAAATATGCCATGTTCTCATTAGCATTTGGTTGAGAAAAGTGTCATTTTCTTCGGAAAAGAACAAAGTAGCGTAGGTCCAAAATTGAGTTTTTAAGATAGAGGTTCAAAAAAGAAGTGGCATTCACCTCCATTCTTTTCCATAAAACTACTTCTTTTTCCCATAAACTTTTCGAGTCTATTTTTAGATTCATTTGTTTGTATTCGTTGTAGTTTTCAACATTAAACAATAAAACGGTATTGCAGAACTACCAGATGATTACAGTTTTTTGTGAGTATGCCCGAATGTTTTACCCCGATGTTGTCTTGTTATCAGAAACATTTATAATGTTACTTTAAAAATGGAGAAAAATAAGAAATAAAAGAGAAACACTTGCAATGTAAATGTGAACATTTTACCACGATAACCGTTTTTTTCTTTTTGATATCGAAAAAATTGCAAAAATAGTAGATTATCCTAGGTTTTGGAACAGAGCAAGTATTTATGAAAGTATTTACCATATTTAGCATGTTTCCATTGGAAACCGAACAACGTTGTTCGCTCTCAGAATTAGGTACACAATATACGGCACGATTCGTAATTCATAATTTGTAGTTTTCATTCATAATTTTCAGTCTTCCCAAAATTTCATTAAATTTTTCTATTTTCAATTTTTAAATGTCATAATTTATTTTTTCGATAAATGCTCTCATTTGTTAGGGATGGTACATATTTTTTCGTTGTTTTGAATATTATTTGATTTGAACCATGGTACAATGAATTCAAGGTAGGACAGAATACCATATGATTTCAATTTTTTTTTATTTTTCTGGCTTAATATGTCAACTTCATTTGTTTGTGTGTGCGTATTCTTTTCAATAATAAAAAAATTGTTCAGAAAATATTCAAATTCGGGTGTTTTCAAAATGCTTATTGCAACACATGCATCGACAAAGTCAACAGTTTTTGTCGCGAAATAAACCATAAGATATATATAGAACATGATTTTGAAAATAAATTTTGATCTTTCATTCAGTTTTCGCGGTTTTAAATTATTTATTCAAAATCAATGCAACAAGTTCTTTGCTTTTTTATTGTTTCGATAATGATTCTGAAATTACAAGCCAAACAGGTAGACCTCTATACTTGCAATTTTTTCAAAGTTAGCCTACCTTGTATTCATTGTACCATGATTTGAACAATGTACAAATATGAGTGTTCGCCCAGGAAATTTTGTGTGAAGAATTAGCAGGGAATACATAAAGCGCTTATTTGGCTGTCTTAAGTCATCGGCTGGCTTCTTCGGAAATGAACAAAGGAGCCTAGGTCAACCCATGGTACAATGATATCAAGGTAGGGCTATGATACCATATGATTTTAATTTTTTTATTTTCTTGGCTTAATATGTCATCTTTATTTGTTTTGTGTAATTGTTTTCTTTTCAATAACAAAAAAATTGTTCAGAAAACATTCAAATTCGGGTGTTTTCAAAATGTTTATTTCAACGTATGCATCAACAAAAGCTAGAGTTTTGGTAGCGAAATAATCCTTTAGAAATATATAGTACATGATTTTGAAAAGAAGTGTTGACCTTTCATTCAGTTATCGAGGTTTTCAATTATTTATTCAAAATAAATGCAACAAGTTGTTTGATTTTTTATTGTTTTGGTACTAATTCTGACATTAAAAGCCAAACAGATAGACATCTATACTTGCCATTTTTTCAAAGTTGGCCTACCTTCTCTTCATTGTACCATGGGTCAACCTAAAACTCCTTTGTTCATTTACGAAGAAGCCAGCCGATGACTTAAGCCAGCCAAATATGCGTTTTATGTATTTCCAGCCTTAGTTTTTTCATAGTTAAGGTTCAAACAACGAACAGAGAGCGAATCAAGTGCAGTGGAAACGCCACATTTCTCATGGCCAAACGGAAATTATAACCCTGTTTATATAGGAACTAAAACAAACAATTCATGGGGGATTTAAGTTTTTCTATTTTACAACGAGCGATGGTAGGAGACCCTAAAGTAATTTATTCACATTTAAATGCCGGAGTGCTCCAACGCTTGAATTCCAACACGAATCACCAATATGCTTTTGTACGCTTGTAAACAATATGATAAGCTGTCACTGGAATAATTTTAACAGCTGTCGGACTAGTGGCAGCAATGACAGCAGTCTGAAGTTGGTTGCAGTTTTTATACCCTCCACCCATGGTAGAAGAATATAGGTAGACGAATCGACACAGCTGCTGGGACAATGAACTGTCAAAACAATTTTGCAATTGAAAATGTTGAATGAAAATTTATTTACACTTGTAAAAAATGTTGAAATTCCTAATTATAATAACCTCCGAACGACGTCGTATAAGAAAACATATAAAAATCTACTTATATTTGAATAAACATTTAAAAATTTTTGACATATCAATGTTCCCAAGCATGATGCATCTACCTGTATTTTTCTACCATGCCCTCCACCATACTATGTGTATTTTGGCAATAGCCCCCATATAACGGTACATGCCGATATTCGGTACTTTGTTGATTTTAGCGAGATTATTCACCGAAATTGTTTCAAATTTCGCATTTGAAGTTCGTAGTGGATACTACATCCTATGACAGAAAATTGTCTGTGCAGGTCCACGTTTTATAACCCCCATGGCACTTCCCTATATTCGGTATTTTAATGATTTTAGCTACATTATAAACAGTTTTTATTTTTAAGTTTCGCATTTGAATATTGTAATAGCTTGTGACAAAAGTTGCCTATGCAGGTTCATGTCGTCTTATAGACCCTATAATACGACTACATTCGGTATTTTTAAGATTTTAACAGAATTTTTAACGGATTTTATTTTTTTGTTTTAGTTTTACTACTTAAAAAGTACTGGAACACAACTCATGTCTGTCAAACTACGATAACCGATTTTCCCTTTATGAATGATATCGGAGAACATTTTTAATTCAATCACAATAATGCTACCAGTATCACGGTAACGAGCGATGTTAGGAGACCCTCCGTGTATATACGGAGAAAGGAAATTTTGCTTGCAAAAATAAAAAGTTATATATAAAAAATAAATGTACTAACAATAGAAGAGAAGTGTTAATTGAAGCACAAACTAATAAAGCAACAAATTGAAAGAGCGAATAAAGGCAAATATTTATCGGGAAATTGTTTTCGTGGCCGCGGATGAAAAAAGTTGCAAAAACGCAGAGGAAGGCTTAATTTTCTTTTCTTGTACGTATATATTTCCGAAAAGAAGAAAAATGTATGTATGTTATACAGCTGTAAGTGTGTAAGTCGAATCGTGGACGACAACAGAATGTTGAAAAATTGTGCAAATGTTTATAAGGATACGGAAAAGTAGTGTTTCAAGTGTCGTAAGTTTGTGAAATATTTTGATATTGTTCCTGGATTGTTGCTGGTGGTGTCTCTGGCTGTGGCTGGACGTGAGTTTTGGTGCGCGATTGTTTTCTTCCTTTTTCTGTTTGCTGAATTTCGTTGCCTGCTGTTGTGGTGGGCAAGGAAGAAGGTGGCTGGCTGGCTGGCTGCTAGTACCTCTTTTTCGTGTTTATTACTTTGTGAATTCATCATAATGGCGTATTTGGCGTATTTCCTTCTTGCGCGCTCTCTCTCGCTTTAGCTTACTCCTGCGTGAACTTTCGCTCTTGATGACTGTGTGGATGCTGTTTGTCGGAGCAGAGATTCCATAGTTCTCAACCACCACCGCCGCTGCTAGCAACACACCGTCACCGTTCATCTATTATTTTTGTTCGTTTCGTACATCTATTTTTGGTTCGAAAGAATTTCGGGAAGTTAAAAAGATGTACGACGATAATGATGCTGATACGGGTGAGATGTTACACGGAACACAGAGAGGAAAAGGAAATGCTTGAGATCCAGAAGTTTGTGTAAAAGTGTGTACAAATCAAGTTAAGTTTGAGGACAGTGGTGAAGGGGGAGGTTTGTCATGGAAACAAATGTATGTGAATTCGTATATCCTGTTGACAATTTTGGCATTTCAATGCATTGAATTAAAACATAGATTAAGAGTAGGTAATAAACAGGCAATTTTCTTAGGTTCTGTTGAAATCGGAGTGGTTGGGTTTGATTTTATCTTTGGCTTTATATTCTCGTCTTGCAATATGTCCTTCCTTTGCCCTATGTTACTGTCCTAATACTGTTTTTTCCTTTTTATTTTCCACTTCATTTTCACAACAATGTGACGTATTACTGTAACACATTCCTCTTTGTCTTCGCCTCCCTTCGTTGTCCACGGTGTTTCAAGTATCTAATTTGTCTAAAAATATTTCCCTTGAGGCTGCATGATTCAAAGTTACTTAAAAACGATATCTACCTAGGTCAGGGATGGAAAATCAAAAATTCCAAAAGGTACTAAAATGGTACTTTTTTAAATAAAATTGTACTTTTTTATAATTTTTTTTTTTAGAGTTACAAAAAAACTTTTTATTCATTAAACATAACAAATTCATTCACCTATGTATTTAGGTACATATGTATATAGCTTCCAGGAACATAAAATGTGAGATCATTTTTTCTTATATAACATTCTGAAGTTTGTAAAGTTATTTTTATGATTAATTTCTTAAGGAAATTGTCAGGAATTTTGTAATCAAAACAGCAAGACTTATTCGATTTAAGAAGATCTTTCGACCTTATGAGATTAGAAAGTCTTTCTAGCTGTAGACGATTTCTTTCTTTAGTCTTAGTGGCATTTTGAATTGAAAATATTCGTTCAAAATTCGCTGAAGAATGGAGAATTGATAATATACCAAAGGCAATTCTTGATATATTTGGGCACATTAATTCCCCCAATTCGTTTTTAATAACACTAACATTAAGCCAAAAATCACTAATATTACCATCTTTACATTTTTTAAGTTCAGTTTAATCAGATAAAGCTCTAAATTGGGAGTTAATGTTTTCAAAATTTTGTTCTTCCTTGGGAAAGAATTTCATTAAAATTTGCATTTCAAGTTTAGTATTATTAATTAATTTTAAAACATAAGACAAAAATAAGTAGAACATTTTCATTATGGGACTAGTTAGTTCATCGCTAATGAATTCCAACTCTATGACAAACGCATCCAGTTACAAAAAGATATGGAACTGACAATTTTAATATTGCTTGCACACCTTTGTATTTCAACATCATCACTGAGCAATTATCAGCCGTAAACCCGATCATTTTCTCCAGTGGTATGTTGCATCCGTTTAAAACTTCAATTATTTTGTCAGTAATGCCTTTGCCGGTTGCCTCCACAATATGTTCTAGTGATAGGAATCTATCTTGACACTTTCCATCAAAAGTTCTTACAATAATCGCCAAATGCTTGGACACAGTACAGTCAGTGCTGTCGTTGATAACAATTGAGTAATAATTTGCATTGCAAAATTTGCTTATAGCTTTAGTATTTTCTGGTCACTGATATCCATACATTTGCAATGATAACCGAAGTTAGTGCCAATGGTGTCGTAAGAATGTGTATGAAATATTGAAAATTAGTAATCGTCGATTTACACTAATTGCATTATAATGGAGACAACTTAAGTGAAATGGTACTGAATATCCCGCGGTAGTACTTAGGTACTTTTTGTAGTGAAATGGTACTGAAAAAAGTACCATTGTACTGAATTTTCCATCCCTGACCTAGGTACTTAATTCCTGGTATTTTTTGTTGGAGACAATTGTGTTAATACCTATTAACGAATTTCACTGCATGTTTGTTTCCTTCGTGTTTCCTTTTTGCTAAGAATAGATATCGATTAACAAGCTTCACTGGCCTTTCTTGCTCCATCATCTCGATTCGATTTTTAATTAGTTTTGTTGTGTATAATTATAATTAATGCACAGTAAGCAATAATGTCAATATACTCTTGTGTTCCGTTTCCTGAAGGCTAGTCTGTGTTGCCATCCACTCTTATGGTATCTATCTATCTATCGGCTGCCGTCAATTCATAATCGAAAGGTGCACCAGTCACTATTATTGGTTATTAATAACCCAACATGTGTATAACAATATTCATGGCACTGTGTCTGGCTGACTGGCTGGCTGGGTCTCATATTGAAAGGTGAAAATCTAACTAACCACATAATTAAACACTAGTACATATTGCTTGTACATGGACATAGTCCTTTATTTCCCTTTATATATCATGCCAGTTTCATAGAACATAATGCTTTGATAGAACGTCAGATGTTGTTTGAACTGCAGTATAAAGGCATTCGTATGTAGGTAGTTGGTATGTAAATTGAAATGAAGTCCATTTGCTTGCTATAACCACCTATCAAATATTAAGAAATCTTTCGGATACTTCTTGGTTATTTCAGCACCATCTGCTATGTAAGCGCAATGTCCGACATTGGGTATTTGAATAAAAAAAAAACTAAAAAAGCCTCACTACTCAGGTTTATGTTTTTGTTTATTTTCCAATGTCAACCTGTGTGGATGTGTATTTATTTTATTTTTGCGTGATATTTAGTTGTTTGTTGTTGTGGTTCAATGTAAAACCGCTTCTAAGATTTTGTTTGGCAGCTTTAACTAAAATTAGCCATATTCGGTTAGTGTTTTGTGACTTTTCTTGTTTTTTTTTTTATTTTACTTGAATTGTTTTTATTTTATTTATTTGTTGTGTATTTTTTCTGACAGTTGGCTGTCATACTGAACCATCGAAAATATGTGAAAAACGTACATCTGTTGCTGTAGCCCAAGAAAATAGAAGACACAACAAAGTTGAAACCGAACGTATTGTCTAAGTATATGACGTCAAGAGAAAAAGGAAAATATTTTCACTTATTTGTAACAGTTGTCTTACGTTTTACTCATTTTTTCAATTTTCACAAAAAGCTGCAGCGAAAAATACCTTTGTCTCTTAGCATAACTTTTTGCACGCCTCCTTAATGCATTAAAATGCCGCCAAAGTGAGAATTTTCTTGCCTTTGTAAGCAGTCGTTTTATAAATAGACCAAAAAATGCAATAAAAACATCGAAAAACAACAAAATAATGGAAATGAATACATTGACATTTGAAAGTAAAATTTATGTAATGCCAACAGGGTGCTGCAAAGTGGATGTGTCAACTGGCAAGATTTGTCCAATCGATGGGAATAGTACACTGTGAAAGAGAATTGTTAAGGTATTATTGTATTGTCTCAGAAAAGCCATCTAATGGAACTTCCGACTTTATATTAGAGGTATAAAGCTTTGGAGGTGTACCCAATATTCCAAACTTGTTGCATTTATTACCAGCAATTTTGATGTAAACAGACTCATTCCGAGTTGTGTTTTTCAAATGTGGTCCTAGCTTGTATACAAAGCGTTATTTCGAGTAGCACACAAAACATACCAACCCACCCTGTATTCAAATGTGTTTTCGATTGTCTTGTTCTTCGTTTTCATTTTTTTGATTTTCTTGTTGTTTTCTTCCATTATTTTTATTGTTAATCTATTTACAGATACGAAGAAAACAGCAAACATTTTTTCTCAGTTTGCAAAAAAGCAAAGGAATAGCAAACACAATCTAAATCTAAATAGATGCAAACATAAACAAGCCAGCCATACGCAACGCAATACATACCACCACCATTCTGTTGGACAAAGAGGGCAAGAGCCAACAAGCACGATTTACTGTGTAAACACACCGAGTATAAAAGTTAAATATTTTTTGGGGATAAACTGAAAATCAAAATAAGCAAATATAGCCGAGCCGCACGCAAACACTTACCGATGCACAGATACATACAGACGTTGCAGGAGGCATCATCAGAAGAGTGAAAACAAGGAGAATAACATTTCGTCTTTCATAACAAGCATGATGAATTGATGGAATCAATCAAATTTCGATAGTATGGTGCATTTAAGGAATCCAATTGTCAGCACCACCAACAACAATAAATACAACATTAATACGGCTAATATAATAATAGCAATAACGACAATTGCAACTTTTATTGGTAGACGCTGAGAGCAACCCGTACAAGCACGGAGTAACAATTGTTTTTAAAAATAACCCAGTCAACCCAGGGAGAAAAAACAAGAAAAGCCGCAATTTAAAAAACGTGTTGGTGTTTTAAGATATTTACAAATTTTGCGAGCTCTCTCCCCAGTAGTGCATCATCTGTTTAATTGTTAAATAATTGCCGACCCAAACACACACACATACTCCCCTCACTGGCTGCTGCGACATATATCAGCGACGTCTGCAGCAGTTCGAAAGCCAAAAACAAACGGAGAATCAATCGTGGTTGCTAACAGAAAGCAGCACCACGGCGAGCAAATATTTTTTCAAAACTGTTATTTTTTAAATTGGAAAAATTACAAATTTCAAAATGAAGCGCCGTAATGCCGATTGCGGCAAACTACGAAGACCTATAAAACGTAACAAAATTACGGAAAGCATGTACGGCAGGTAGGTGTTAAAGTACAAAGTTGCATAAAACTTTCAATTAATTTCGTTTTTACTTTTTTCTCGGCAGCACCACTGTTCTGTACATGAAATTTTTGGTACTATGGGCAATTGTGATAACAGCAGATTTTATGTTTATGTTCCGCTTTGAATTTCTATGGCCATTTTGGTTACTGCTGCGTTCAGTACACGACTCTTTTAAATATAAGGGACTGGTGAGTTGTTTTAACCCTTGCGAAAATATGTAATTCAATTTCTCATTGTCTACTTTTAGGCATTTTCGGTTTTATTTGTATGCATAGCAATAACATCCGATTTGGTATGTTTATTCTTTATACCAGTTAATTGGTTATTATTTGCAGCCAGTACATATGTATGGGTGCAATATGTGTGGCATACAGGTGAGAATGGAAATTACAATTTGAAGTGAAACATATAATTCTGCTTCCGATTTTCATCTAGATAAAGGCATTTGTTTGCCAACCATAATATTGTGGATGTTATTCGTATATTTAGAGGCTGGCATACGATGGAAAGACAGCAGACATATGCCTCACTTAGATTTATGTAGACCATTTGCAGCTCACTGGTAAGTTAGCGTGTTAGCGATAAGTATTTAGAGAATAAACTAAACTTCGATTTGTTTCATTACAGCATTGGTTATCCTGTGGTTACTTTAGGCTTTGGCTTTAAAAGCTATGTTGGCTATCGCATGCGGCAGCGGAAACAGCGTGAGGTAGCTAAGGAAAACGAGTTCTATATGCAATTATTGCAACAAGCACTGCCCCAGGAGGAGTCCACACAACCGGCAGATGAATCACAAACTGTGGTAGCCGCCAACTCAAACAGTTCTACAAGTGCTGTTGCTGCCATCTCCTCGGCGAGTCATGGTGCACAAAATAGCAGTCATCATCATCATCATCAGAGCAATGCGTCAGCAACGGGAGCATCACTTTCTGCTGCACATACTCAAATTTCCAATTCAATAGCTACAGCGAATGGATCTGTGGCATCGTTAGCACAAACTCACCACCACCACCACGAGCAGCAGCAGCAACAACTGTCGCATCATAACAATCACAATGGTAACTGTTTAACAGCAAATGGTTCCGCTTCAATGGCTTCATCTGCTGCTTGTCAAGTAACGGGTGTAGCCAGCTCCAATTTCTCCTCATCCTCAAATTCTTCCTCTTCTAATAATACAACATCTTCTACATCTACGTCTTCAGCCTCATATTTATCTACTATGCTAACAACGGCCTCATCATCATCAACGTCTAATGATGATAAAAGCTATGTACAAATTGGTGGCGGTAGTGGTGGTAAATTTAATCTATATATGCTTTTATTAAAAACTTGGGTATTTTTCGGATCTTACCTAGGCAGTAGACACCTTAATATTATATAACACTGTCTGTGGACCGATATAGAAACATATCAATACATATTGATATCAGTTTATCGGCCATATTCAGTTTTGTATTTATTTTCAAATTGGGCTTTATGTTGGCAAATTGAAAATTAAGTGTTTGTAAATAGTTTACTTCTAAAATTAAAAATTTTACCCATGTTCTTGGCTTAAAAAATCAAGTCTTTAGTGTGTATGCATGGCTTTTTTAGTTCTTCTACAAAATAATGCATTTAAACAAATTCAATCTTTCAGCAACTTCCAATGGTCATATAGGCGGTGGCAAAAATAACCGACGTAGTATGGACAAGGAAAACCGACACAAAAATAATTCAGCGAGTAATCAAACGAATTCAGGTGGCGATAATAATGAAGCATACACAACAACAAGTAGTAAGCACAATAAAAACAACAATTATCACCAGCTGAATCAGAATAATGAAAGCAATAATCATCATCACAACAATAACAATGTCAAAGAAAAAGCCGATTGGGACAACAACAATTACCATCAACAGCAGCAACAACAGACGACAACAACAACAGTCAAGGAGAAGGATAAACATGGTAAGACCTCTGAATTAAATTTCGAAACAGCGAGAAAGGAATTTATATATTGGCGTTTCTTTAGAATTGCCATCAGGAAAATCGAACAAGAAGTCGGCGAATGCCTCGTCACAGCAACAACCATCAGTATTGAATGTAAATGGTAATGTCACAACACATGCCGATAATGAAGAGGTAGTCACAGTCGAGGCTGTGGAGAAAACAAAAGGTATAACTGGTAATCATTGATTTCACGTCGAAGCACTCGTTAATTAGTTATTTATGTTACAGGTCGGCGAAACCGCTCCAAAAAGGAAAACACTTCCAAGGACAATCACTACCATAACAATAACAACAACCATCATATTCACAACACAAAAGATTCCAGCAAGGAGAATCAGCAGCAACAACTACATCAGAACTCATCGTCAGCTTCTAAAGATACTCACAATCACCACCATCATCACAATTCGGACGCCTCCTCTGTTTCATCGTCATCATCATCCACATCATCTTCGTCGTCTTCGGCGAAATCAAGTGGCGGCAATTCCGCCACTTCGACCATATCTCATCTAGCTTCTAAAGTTGTTTCCAAAATCTGTGAGTCGTGTTTGAAACTCGAGGCCGACGTTAAAAAGTATCGTTCCGAGATAAGCCACATGAAACAGATCGAAAACGAGCTGCGGCAAAAACTGGAAACAAACATGACAACCAAATCCTGTTTGCAGGCCAAACAGAAGGAATGTGACGAGCTGGAGAAACGTCTGCACGATTTGACCAATGGCCGGCACAGTGACATGCTGCAGTTGCAATCACTCGAACGTCGTCTCAACGAGGAGAGGAGACAGAAGCAGTCATTGGAAGCACAACTGAATAACGAGAAGAAGGCACGCAAACAAGCTGAAGAAAAGGCGGCTCGTCCGGAATGCAGTGCTCAATGTAAACAGAGAAAGCAGCAAATGGACGAAGAAATAAAGCAACTTAGACGAGAGCTTAAGTTGGCCGAAGAAGGAAAACAACTGGCCGAACAGCACGGACGTAAATGGGAGCAAGAAGTAAGTAGTGCCATTCAGTTATACTTTCTTAAAATGGCAACCATGACCCTATTTGTTTGTTCCTACCTTATCCGCAGTTACGCAGATTCGAAGCTGAGATTCGCAATCGTGATTCCCTGCAGCCCGGTGCAGATGTTCTAATGAATGTATTGGCCGCAATGCAGGACAAAAATTGCACATTGGAGAAAAATCTATCCGCAGAGACGAGGGTTAAGCTGGACTTATTCTCAGCTCTGGGAGATGCCAAGCGACAGCTGGAGATTTCCGAAGGTACGCTGTCTTTGTTAAACTTAACGAAACGTAACTAAAATATCTGAAATTATATATTTGTAGGCTTGAGACGCTCTAAAGAGAAGGAAGTACATGACCTCAATGCAAAAATCGCACAGCTTTTGGCAGTAATGCCCACGGATTCGCTATGCTTGCCATCCTGCAGTTCAACTGGGGCTAGTTCCATGTTGCGTATGAACGATACACCTCCTCTACAAACTGGCCCTGGCCCAGCGTCTCCCATGTTAACCAGTCTAAGTGCCGCCCAAGCCCAGCAACAACTAGCAGGCCGTGTTGTACCCACATCAGCATCTGATTATGTACAACAATCTCTGAATTCAGACTATGGGGTTACAAGTCAGCAACAGCATCAACAACAGCAACAACAACAGCAGCAGCAACAGCAACAAAATCAGTGTCCCTGTGTTGTGCCCGTGTCCGTGGCCACTTCGGTGTTAGTTTCTCAAGTTTCTAATGGCGTTACAAATACCAATGGCTCCAACCTGGACCCCAATGCTACAGTATACACACCCAAATGTCCCAACAATGCAGCTGGGGTGGTTGTCGTCGGAGGTTCTGGAGATGCCTGATGTATACTTAACAATGTGAATCATTTGTCGAATACCAGACGTCATGTTTGAGATTATTTTTCTAATTTTATTTAAAAAACGTAAATCAGAATCTATTTTCTCTTTTACATGGCATACTCTTTTTCACCACGTCTAATTGAGGCAGCAGTAACCACACATACAAAACTCAAACCCTAATATTTATTGTTGTGTACTACTTGACTACTTGACCAGATAATTTGGGATGATGGCACTTCCATCAGGAAAAGAGCATGCCAATGCAAATAAAGATTACAATTATTAAAACTTAAGAACAACAACAACAAAAACATGATTACAACAAAAGTATCTCTTATTGAATGAAAAAAACACAAAACAGAAAAACAAAAGAAACCACAAATTTGAAAAATGAAATAAAACTGCATTAAAAAATGAAACAACCATCGGCTATTTTATTTCTCAAGAATGGCAGTGTAACTGACCTATGGCATTGAAAACCGCAGTCTGTCGGCAGAATATGGTGGTTTTCATCATTAACCATATCGGATGTGTGTACTCCAAAAGGGAGAATACTTGTTTACGACAAAACAAACACCAACCATTGGTTATTTGTATAAAAGATTACAATTTTTATTTTCTATAATTGTTCACTACAATTCTTTATTGTATTTGATTTGTTCGTTTTATATGGGAATACTATACCGACTATGATTATTGGTACACATACACGTAAACAGGTAAACTCATAATTAAATAAATATATATATATAATACGTCCTATTTGCATGACATCATGCGGTGTATAAAATGATTTGTGTTATATAAAAAATGCTTTGGTATGTATTAGAATTATGTGCGGAGATAAGAGCTAGGAAAGGGATTTCCAATAAGAAATGAACTACATTAGCTAGTTGACGATTTGTGCTGAGATTCTTATTAGTAAGCGACATGTAAAAAGTACAAAATACGTTTGTGTCGGGTAAATACGTTGGGCTAGAAATATTCACCAGCAGCTTTAAAGACTCGGGGACAATGTGTTCTGGCCAAAACACTATAGGCACAGTTTGAATCTGTTTTTATTTGTCGCTTTGTTGAGTGTTTATTCCAAACATGGGCTACATACGAATTTTTGAGGCGGGTCATTGTCTCCTCCAGTAAATTCGATTCGAAAAAGTTGCTCCATTCCGGCCACGGAATGGCATAGAAAGCCTCTATAGGGAATACCCTAAATCCCATGCAACGTTTGGTGTTGTCCTGCATCACTTCAATGTTGCTTGTCTGACAAATGCGTTTCATCACACGAGTGATTACCCCGGGACCATTATTGCCCCAGTTGGAACCGTCGAAGTTATGCTGCAAGTCCAGCAGACATTCCTCGGCAATTTCATGGCCAAACCCGTCATGAGCAAAATTCATTACACCCGCCGCCAAATGAGTATTGGATTCGGCTCCCGTGTAGTTGGGCGGCACATCTTCCATCGAACGCAGCATAACAACATCCATGTCCAGATAAGTTCCACCCCAGCGCCACAAAGTCAGATATCGACATATATCCGAAATGTGAGACAAGACATAGCTTTATAGAAAATACATGTTTAGAACATTGTCCAAAATTGAAATATTGCTGTTACTTACTACGACTTGAATAGAGCACCATCTTTTAATAGATCGTAGACGGGGGTTCCAGCGGCATATGTCCACAGATTGAGATTTCTTAGGTAAACATTTTTGTACGACAGAATGGCATCTATGATGGGATCACTGGAATTTGAGTTCTTAAAGCGAGGACTAGCAAACAGTACGAACACTTTGCTCGATGGGTTGTGAATAGCTGCGGATTCGATTGCACAGGCCTGCCTGGGATTGAGTTTTACAACATTTAAATGAACACCTTCTCCGTAAACATCAGACCGCTGCATTGAGGACAGGTGTGGACATGTCGTTTCATGAAAAAATATACTTCTACCTGGATCAGGCTGCACTCTTGAGAACAGAACATCTTCAAGTTTGCTTGAGTTATTCTCAAACGGCGAGTCCATAAAACATGGAGTCAAATCCGTCCTTTTATATAAATTAAATAAGACTCCGATCAAGCACAGAACCACCAGCATCAGGAACATAATTCGCAAATGGAAATTCACCAGAGTAAATTGGCCCAAAAGCTTTTGTAACCTGAAGAAATTCATGGTGTGTAGTTCGCTGGAGAGGAGTATCAAGGGGTATCGTTGGTTACAGAGTGATGCGGTAATCTTTCCGAGCCAAATAGTTTGTGAAAATAGGGGATGAAACAATACGAAAAATTGTTTGGAAACATTTGTCCACAAACTAAAGATGCATAATTCAATTGTTAAACTTTGTTATCTCCGCTGACTTTTTTCCTTTCCTTTATCTCTATCTGTTGTAGTTATCACAGACCACCGATTATTTGATTCATCCGATTAATTAATAAAAAAATAAACAAAGTGTAGAGCAAATAGATTACGAATGAATTTGTTCAATTGAGAGATTCACTTAATAGAACGACTGAACTAGGTCTGTTGAAATGGTACCTTTTAGTTCATTAAAAGAGCGAACTAATGAAAATAATCGTTCCTTTCGGTTCATTTGTCAGCTGTTTGAACTTTGTCTCACAAAACTCTGTGTTCTAGTTTAATTTTGTCTAAATAAAAATTTCATAAAGGGAAAAATCGCTTATCGTAGTAGTATTGCAGTTTTGAAACAGACCAAATATCGAACCAGTGAGTGTATGACAGTAAAACAGATCTCTGATTCAAGGCAATTGTCTTGTGTTAACTCCGCATTTGCAAAATACTTCTTATTCTCTCTGAATTTTTTTGACGATAAATAGCATATTAAAACTGAAATCGCTCGGTACATTTTTAAACTTTCCAAAAAAAAGATTTGAAAAAATTATTATATGACAAAAACATAAAATAAAAAACATAAATATTAAAAAAGTAAAAGAATATATTTAACTGGGATAGTACAAATGCAAATAAATATACCATATTTAAAAGCAAAATATATTGCAACCAACTGATAATTCTGTCATGTGTCTAATACCAATTTAATGTGTAGTCAGGCATCATTAAATATCGCTGTCGCTGTTAGATGAAGTGTCAATTACACACCCATGGCAACTCTGTTTATAAACACGTGCGGTCCCAAAGCAAAATAAGATTTTTTAGACTTTTTAAAATATTTGAATTAACTTTTTATTCTAAATGAACAAGAAGAACTTTAGATATATAAGGATTTAAATTAAAACAGAGTTGCGAAAATGGCAGTTGAGGTAAATAAAAGAAAACGTAAACACGACGCAGACAATCCGGATGAAGATGAAGGAGTTGCGGCAGTTCCAAAGAAAAAGGAAAAGAAAGCCAACAAATTAAAGGAAAGTAATGCAGATGATTCCCAACAGGACTCAGGATTTGAGCCTGAAGAAAAGCCAATGAAATTTTCTAAAGATTTTAACATGACTAACTTTAGGAGTAAACTTCGAGGTGTCAGTTTTATAACAGGTGAGTACTTTATGGAAACATGGCTTAACTCTAGTTTAGTAAAAACTCTTCAATTTTTTCGAAATTTTTTTCAGTGGTAGGTATTTTAACCATGATCTCGGGAAACTATTTTTTTCTTGGGGGACGAACCTGGGACCCCAGATTTTTGACCCGAAAGTCCGGGTTCAAGACCCCGACTAGACCCGGATCCACCTACCCGATATAGACAATGTGGGTATCGTTGGAAAGCTTATGAAAATACCTATCCGACAAGTGGTCACATGATGGGGTAAGATGTTACGGTTCGGAAGTTATAGTCAAATTATCGATTTTTTGGACCCGGATTTTTTATAAAACCCCCAAAAAGTCAAAAAAGGGTCCATTATGGGGGACAACAAAATTGATGCCAAATTATAGCTGACACTTCTACCTTTCCAAAATGCTACAATTTGTGCTAATAACTTTACTGAGTCCTGAGATATGGGTCTTTCCATCCGCATAACCCGATTCTAACCACTTCATTAAAACTATGTTTTCAATAAAAAAGGTATATTTTGCGTAAGCATGAAGTTCAGAAATCTTTGGTTCGCGTTAGCCGGTGTAGGACATACCCAGAGGAGAAAATCTCAAGCCCCGGCCGAAGGCCGGCTACTTACAAAAGGTATCCAATTTAGAAAACTTTGGTTCGCGTTAGCCGGTGTGGGACATACCCAGAGGAGAAAATCTCAAGCCCCGGCCGAAGGCCGGCTATTTACAAAAAGTGTCAAATTTAGAAAACTTTGGTTCGCGTTAGCCGGTGTGGGACATATCCAGAGGAGAAAATCTCAAGTTCCGGCCGAAGGCCGGCTATTTACAAAAAGTGTAAAATATAGAAATCTTTGGTGCGCGTTAGCCGGTGTAGGACATACCCAGAGGAGAAAATCTCAAGCCCCGGCCGAAGGCCGGCTACTTACAAAAGGTATCCAATTTAGAAAACTTTGGTTCGCGTTAGCCGGTGTAGGACATACCCAGAGGAGAAAATCTCAAGCCCCGGCCGAAGGCCGGCTATTTACAAAAAGTGCCGAAATTATGAACCTTTTGTTCGCGTTAGCCGGTGTCGGACATACCCATAGGTGAAAATCTCAAGCCCCGGCCGAAGGCCGGCTATTTACAAAAAGTTCCAAATTTCGAAAACTTTTGCTATTCCGACGACTGCTACGCGAAATAAACACTTTTTTTATTGAAAACATCATTTTAATGAACTGGTTAGAATCGCGTTATGCGGATGGAAAGACCCATATCTCTGGACCCGAAAAAGGTATTAGCACAAATTGTAGCATTTTGGAAAGGTCAGAGTGTCAGCTATAATTTGGAAACAATTTTGTTGACCCCCATAATGGGCCCTTTTTTGACTTTTTGGGGGTTTCATAAAAAATCCGGGTCCAAAAAATCGATAATTTGACTATAACTTCCGAACCATGCCAACTTACCCCTTCATGTGACCACTTGTTGGATAGGTATTTCCATAAGCTTTCAATCGATACCCATATATCGGGTAAGTGGATCCAGGTCCAGGCGGGGTCTTGATCCCGGACTTTCGGGTCAAAAATCTGGGGTCCCGGGTCCGTCCCCCAAGAAAAAAATAGTTTCCCGGGATCAGGGTAAAAATACCTACCTCTGGAAAAAATTTCGAAAAAATCTAAGAGTTTTTACTAAACTAGAGTTGTTCCGGAAACATATATGTGCATGTACCATTATTGGAACTCTTTATATCTGCTTACAGAGTTGAGACATTTCCTGTACTTGTGCGGAGTGCGTCCAAAAACAATAGCCAAATACATTGAGAAACGTGGAAAACCATTGGAATTAGCAGAGGCATTGGAACGCATAGATAAAAACAATGTCCTACACTCTGCCTACGTTTGCGAGGCTCTATACATGGTTCTCATGGAGATATTAGGAAATCAAAGAAATCACATGGAATCGGCCGTCCATGCCTCAAGGTATTTTCTCAAGACGCATGGTGCCGTTTTGGAACTGCTTTTGGAATCAGCACAGCTAAATCATCGCAAAGTAGCCCTCAAGTTGTTGACAGCATTCGTCTGCATAGAGCCACAATTAGGAAGACAAATTTTGTCATCTTATAATATTCTGTCGAACAAGCACACGATTGTAAAGTTTCTTTCACACTCTCCGGCAGAAGCCAAACAAGTAGTGGAGAATAATGGCGAAGAAATTGAAACAGTACGCAAATGTTTCATACATTTTGTACTGGCATATTTAGTGGATGGAAACACCCTTCTTATACGCAACATTCTGGATCGTATCGCCTTAATGAATGCCTTAGTCCATGGTCTAAACTTTGATGATTCTGTTACTGTTTGCGTGGTCTTGAGCACTCTGAAAAAGTTTGTTTTGGAATGCCCAGACATATCAAAAACCAAAAAGGTACATGTTTTCGATATAAACTGTTGCAAAGGGCTCGTGGCTCTATATGATTGGAAGGGACCAAAATTCTATGCGGCCCAGAACAACAACCAGTTTAAAGGACGTGAAGATTATGGTCGTTTCATCAACCCTGAGGAAAAGGAGGCAGTGTCAAATGCTGTCCATGATTTTTTGGTGGAACTTCTTACATCCCGAAAGCACGGCATAGCATTTGATTCTATAACATTCTTTCGTCAAAAACACAACACTATACAAGGTATGTAACCATAAAATGTTTTTAAAGTCGTGACACTAACTCCTTTTTAAAATTTCGTCCTAGGTCAAGTTATTGGATGGATTAAATATCCATGGGAAAATGAAAGGAAAAAGTATTTAGTTGTAAAAATATTAGAAAGCTGTCCTGATCTTTTCCGTAACACCGTACGCAATTATGCCGGTATAATCAACCCCATGCTTGGACGTGAAGCGAGGAAAAAGGCTACGTACTTCCTCATAGACATTATAAGTGCATGTCATCCACGTCACTTAATGGGCGCCTTTGATAAAATCACCATAACCGACTTCTCTTACTGGATCAAGGACATTTGCTTGCCCATTGAAACATTGGTACATTTAAATGGCAATGAACAGCTGAAAAATGCTGATTTTAATTGTCGTTTGGCCGGCAATCGTTTGCTGTTGGCCATGTTCAAACAGTACACCAACTACATGCGATTGATTTTGCAACGGGAACAGAAAAAATCGGCTGGATCGAACTCCTTGCGAAAGTTTAGATTTGACATTTTGAATCACTTGTTGCTGCATTTTCCGCCCATTGAAAAAATTTTATCATCGCTAGAAGTTTCAATAAACGTAAAGAATGTGGAGGGAGTTGATGTATTGGCCCATTTAGATGTGGCATTAGATCTGATCTTGCTACTATGCCAAGAAAATAGTTCTTTTGTCAATAAAACTTCGGTTCTTTTGGACTATTTGGAACTGTTAAGGCCACTTTATACGGGAGAGGAAAATGCTAGTCCAGAAAATATCAAACTAGAAATGAAAGCAATTAAAACTATTTTATGGATTTCCCCCAAATCATTGGACCCTCAAAGAAAGCAATTTAGCAGTGTGCTAGCTTCTCTAATCAACGCCTTTGTACATGGGGAAAGACAGACAAGTCAAGAGGCTGGTTTCCTTCTCAGGACAATTTTTAAAAATACTGGCATTTTCGATTCTGGACTTTTAGAAATAGATTTATGGCTAGAAGGCTTAAAACTGATACCAAAAGAAAGTGTGCTGTTGGTTACTCAGGTCTTTATTGAGGTCTTCAAGGTAAGTGGAATTAATTGTCTGTTCAATCTTCAGATTTTTAATTAAGCGACTATTTACAGGTGGTCAAAGCCGAAGTTGAATGTCCCAAATCAGTGGAAACCGTAACTAACACAAACAATTTACACACACTCTTTAAAAACATCGAAAAAGGACTATCAGTTCAGGCATACTCCGAAGCTCTGTCGATTAGCAAGCTGATGCCTCTGATTTTCAAGGGTGTTTTAATTGAAGAACATTTGGGAAATTATCTGGAAATTGTGAGCATTTTCATGTTCCACTACTACCCGTCGGCGGAGAATGTTTTGCAACTGTATGAAAAACAGTTTAAGGAGCTAAAGCCTTACATGACCAATTGGTTGTCCACTGAAGTTAAGGAAGAACGAAAACTTTTGGCCAAATCCGGCAAATTCAAGCTAATTAACCATTTCGCTGAACTGCAGAAAATGGTGTTCAACTGCTCTCCAGATTTCGAAAATATGTTTGAAAGCAAATCGTCCGATAACTATATTGAGTTGGAATTTAAGGGCAACCTCAAAAAGTTCTCCACCGTTGTGCAAAACGAAAGACAACTTATGATCTACGTTCAACAAGTTTTATTCCAAGTCCACAAGTTAATGGAGAAGGAAGTGTTATCCGAACAACAGGCTTTAAAGAGTGCAGCATTTATCGTTGATTGCTTGGAAATGATAAACAAGTCTTCAACAAAAGAAGACAATTCAATGGCAGCGTATGCAACGGATAGTGAAAGTAGCTTGGATTCCATTATAAAATACATCTATGGCGTTAGATTGAATTCCGTAAAATCTGGCGATTTAATTAGCGCATCAATTGCAAGTGTTTCTTATAGAAACTATTTGAAATTCATTTACGTTATGACCCAATATTGTAGAAACTTGGAGTGCTTCGATAATTATGCCGAGAATTTCAAATTGAAATTAGTTAAAGCCTCAGCAATTTCTTTGAATGAAGCCAACGAGGTAACCTTGCACTCAGAGCAGTTGGAGGATTTTGTTAATTTGCTACAGGTATTCAATTTATCGGCCGCTCATTGTGCCGAAATTTTAGAGATCCTGGTATCAAAAATTACATACAAAGACTTGTTTTCCAATCAACAAAAAACACTCTACCACTTAATTTTGGTGGCTTGTTTCCAGAGATTGTCCGAACTGAAAAAGGCCTTGAGCTGTGCAGAGTTTATTAAGAAATTTGCCAAAATCTATGCCAATATTTTCAAGAAATTGGAAGGAGAATACAATGTTGAAAGCTTGGAGGAGGCTTTCTATAATTTCCTTATCGTCAACCATCAGTGCATAGAACAATTGGGAGCGAGATTCTTTGAGTCTTTCTTCAAGGAACGCAAACTTTCAAAGTTTAGCATAAAGTTGTGTTGTCTGCTCTTCGAACGCAATCCCAATTTGGAAGTTGTATTTGTCGAACAACTGGAGAGTAACATTGATAAAAAGGAACTAATTTATCCCCTTTTGTCTTTGTCTTTTGCGAAAAATACAAATATCGATGCCACGCTCATGCAGAAAATTTACCAAAACTATAAGAACGGTTTTATGCGTTGCATCGAAAAGCCCCTTAAGGCCGGTGTTATCTATAAGGAAAATGTAGAGTCCAGCATAAAATTAATCGAGCAATGTATGCCAGTGACTGAATGTCGTGATTTCTGCAACAAACAGTTCAAATTTGAAAATATTGAAACGTACCAAATGCGTTCAATCTATGCCATATTTGAGAAGGCCTTCAAGAATGCTGAAGAGATGTCGGCGAAATCAAACATTTTCGTAAATTTCGTAACACTGAATGTGCAAATGTTGTCCTTAGATCTGAAAGTGCAAAAGCTTAATCAGGAAAAGTTGGAATTGGCTGCATATCAAATAGACCAGTGGATAAAACAAGGGTTGCGTTTGCAGGAAAATGCCAAGGCAGAAGCAACTGAAGCGGAATTTGACAATGAATTCTCGCCCGACTTTTCAAAGCTTTTGAAGTCCCAACAGTGGTTGCAATTCTGTAAGGCCTGTCTCAAGGCGGGTATGCACATCAGCGAAGCCGTTGTCGAAGGCGAAGCTGAAGATGTTTTCAACGGATTACTTCTGAAGTTATTTGCCCATTTATGCGAGAACTTGTACACGGACTACTCTGAGGACATTGCTGAGTCGGAGATTCCACAAGAGCCTGCTCAGCTGTATGAAATGATCTATACACATTCAAAATTTTTCGACATTATTCTGACGAAAGGTCATCAATCGCAAGTAAAAACTCAGGTGCTGCACTTACTCTTCACATTGGCTAAAAAGTGTCCCTCATCGCTGAATGAAAAACAAATTCCATTCATATTGGGTTCCTACCAAGCACGTCTTAGCGACAGTGATCGTTATGCATTGGCTCTTCTAAACTTATTTGAGTACTACGACTGTGGCCTGCATAAATACCGTCCCTTCATATGGGGCGAGAGTGCTGTATCCTTCTATGCTCTGCGCGTCGATGTTGACGAAAGGGCTAAATTGACACACCAAGAAACGTCCATTGAACAGGTAATGTCATTGGTAGATCGCCAAATATGTGAATACACCATTGACAATTTTCCCATATGGCGTAAACTGGATACCGTGCAGCAACTGCCCCAAGTTGAGTTTGAAAACCCATTCGTTAAGCCTTGGTTGTACGGGGCTAATGACTTGGAAAACAAAGTAGAGCTTGGTGCTGGTGAAATAGACGAACAAGAGTTACGCCTGTGCCCGAAAAGAAAAGCTATCTTTGAGCAATGCTATGACCCAGCCTTCTTTGTGCCCCTGATGTCTATGTGTTTTGCCCCAGAAGCCTACTCCCATCCGGCCCGACCTGTACAAAATGGCTTACTGGCCCTTACCTTTGCCGCTTTGTCCTCCCAAGATAAAGATATGAGACTGGCCTCAGGTTGTGTGCAATTGCGTTATCGCAGTCATTTCGAAAATAAGAAATTCTTTGAAAAGCCTCTGTGGATACAAACCTATGAAAACATACAGTCTGGTCTAAATGATTTGCGCAACTCGTGGATGAAACACAAATCCAACAAAGGCACCCCCAGAGTTCCATATATTGCTGGCCTTTTTGTCTCGAAAACATTTAACCTAACTACCGATCCTACACATCTACTTTATAAACAGTTGACAATGTATTTGAGGCTGAAGAGCAGTTTCAATTTCCAGTGTATTCCGGAATTTAATGTGTTGTTCTTTTCACCTGAAGTCGAGCACGAGCAATTCCGCAAATTTATTGTGGATGTTATTCGCAACGGTGTTAAATCCAGTTCCGATTTGTTCTTACTCATCTCCACCAACACCTTCAAAGTCCTAATGGGATTCTACGGCAGTACAATGTCTACGTTGGAATTGAATCTGTCAATACTTTCGGTGTTTTCAACATGCGTAAAAATTCCGGCATCCAGTAAGATTATGATAGAACATATTGGCGTCATACCATGGCTGTGCTCCATTGTATCGTCGATTGAGTTCCACCAGTTCGACGTTATTGAGGGTCTCATTAGCATAATCAATAATTTGTGGTATGCCCTGAAAGCCAATGAAAAGGAATTCCATAATTTTAATCACATCATCTTGGAGTTGCATAGGCTTATTGTCCAGCTGCTGCCCCTGATGTCACCGAGAATTTCAGTTTCGAATTTCTCAAAGCTAATGAATATTCTGAATAAAACAGCCCTGGATTCTTCGCAGTACAACGCTGTAACAACAGATCAATTGTCGAAGCTTATTTCGTGTGCTGAGAAACATTTCGGATCGTTGGTGGCAGATATTGAATCGATTTTCGAATTCGGTGGCAATGGTTGTTCATCTACGCACGATTATTGTAAAGAACTCTATGCGTTGGGAGAAAATGGTACAACAATAAGAGCACTGTCAAATTTGAGAGCATACACAGTTTCCTGGTGGTCTGTTTGCAGAAAGAATGAAACGTCGGATAAATCTTTGCCAGTAGATTGAGCTGGTAACATGATCTAGTAGCTTGGAGATCCTTTAAAGTCTACATGTTAGTGTTAAAGTTGCCGTGTAGTAATGCATTTCATCTTAGATATTTTTATGTACATATGTTAAGAATTGAAAATATGTTTTAAATCAAATTTGTGTTTATTTACAAAGATCCGATTTTGAGGGAAAATGATAAATAAACTATATTATTTTTTTAAATTTTATTTGTGCTCCTAATTTTTGTTCGTTTTTGATAACACCTGGTATTTTTTTTTTTTGATTTCAAATGTAAGTTCTTGTGAGTTATGTCTGTACGCTATCTCCAAAAAGTGTAAATCCCCCTCTAAGCAAGACCTCATATAAATGTATTCCACACACGCAGATAAATACTTATGAACACTATTGTCAATACGCAAATCTTGCCAATAAATGCCTTGAAACTCTACAAAACCAAAATACAAGTACGCACACACATACAATTTCTTTCACACCACAATCAAAATCCCTAAACGGCATTAACGATTTGAAAAGTATGTGAAAATACTTTTAAATAACCATGCTATATGATATGGCTCAAAACAGCACTAAAGCAACCGACGAGAGAGTTACGCGAACATGAACCTTTACACATACCTACCTACCATATGTATGTGGTAGACAAATACATACTCGAATAGTGATCAAAGGCTTGGCAAGTTTTACAATGCATTTACCATTGAACGCACAACGACGAGCCGTACAAGGAGGCAGGGAATCTACGAGGAAAATAGAATTGAATGGGGTAACTCCATGTTCATCTAGCTCTGAATTGAATGCAAGTAGTTGCCGTAAATGGTGCAATAACTTAATGTTGCATGCTTTGTGGAAGAGCTAAAAAAAAAATCATGCTTGCAAACAATTTGCTTGGAAATGAATAAGTATAAATAATGGAGATTTCATAAGCTTTGTCTTCTTTATTGCTATTTTTATTTTGCATTGAAGTTTATTTTCCGATGCTAAAGAAAGAAATTGGAACATCTTAGCGTATGAGTGATACTAATTAGTTACTCATACGCCTCGTTTGTAAAGAAATGGAGAATTTGTTTTTGCTTCATCTAAAAACAAGTAAAAAAGCTGCTAAGGTCGGTCGGGCCGAACTTTTAATACCCTTCACCATTTTTGAAGTAACTTGGAAAAGTTAAAAAAATCCGAAAACTACCACTTAAATGAAACCCGTTATATGGGGACTATACGAAGACGTGGACCTGCTTACGAAGTTTTTTGTCATAGGCTGTAGCCCACGTTACAAACCTTAAATACGAAATTTGTTACAATTCCGGTGAATAATGTCGCAAAAAACATGAAAATACCGAGTATCTGAAGGTACCGTCATATCGGAGCTATACGAAAACGTGGACCTGCATACACAATTTTTTGCCATAGGTTGTAGTACCCATTAATCTTCCAATACAAAATTTAAAATTATTCCGGTGAATAATGTTGCAGAAATCATCAAAATACCGAATATCGGGAGGTACCGTTATATGGGGACTATACACAGACGTGGACCTGCTTACGAAATACGATTTTTTTTTACAATTCCGGTGAATAATGTCACAAAAATCAGGAATATGCCGAGTATCGGGAGGTACCGTCATAACCTGGACCTGCATATGAATCCCCATTAAAGGGGCGTTGGGACGAAACGTACACGAACTTAACCTGCCTACTGCTAAACTATGCATGTATGCAAAATTGTAGCCTTCTATCTCAGTTCGTTCGAAAGATAGCATGATTACAACAGACAGACGGGCAGACAGACAGACGCTAGATCGTTTTAGAATTTTACGCTGATCCAGAATATATACTATACTATACTATACTATACGGGACTTTTATGAATATTTCGAGGTGTTACAAACGGAATGACAAAGCTAATATACCCTCCATAGATTGGTGGTGGGTATAAAAATGCTCGGAACATTCCGGTAAAGGAAGAAGCATTAATGCTTTGGAATGTAGAGATACGGCACAAATCCAGTAAAAGGCGTTATAAATATTTCAAACAGAAAATCGCATTTACAATGGACGTCATTTGGATAGGGGCGAAAGTATGACTTTGTCAGGTATATTTAAAGCTTTTATGATGGCGGTGCCTTATTGTGATATCTTTGCAGACAAGTTTTCCTCCCTAAAAAAAGTAGTCAATATAGGCCCACTATTTGATTAAGCCCTAGAGTACCTGCTGATTTCAAGTGATTCGAGAATATACATCAATTTCCAACAAAATTAGCAGTGATTCTGAATTCAGTTCTATGCAGACAAATTCCAATATGGCTAAACTTCAGTTCTCTGCAGACAAATTCCAATATGGCTAAACTGTTAGGTATAGATTCCACATACTGATTTTCGCCAATTCTATGATTTCAACACCAATTTACATTTAGTTCGGCAATTTTTGGTTTGATTGCATTTAATTTAGATGGAGAGTAGAAAAATCTCAATTAGAAAAACTCATACCCTTCTCGGAATAAGTTAAAGTTTTAAAACGTTTGTGCTTAATTCCAGTAGTTCCGCATTCTGCATGTAAGCTACAATATAGATCTAAAGATGGAAGGGCAATTTTGCATACTTGTACATACACACATACATACATACATTCACATCACATCATGAATCTATTAAAAACATTTACCCTAAATATTTATGCATGGGAGGAATATGTCTAAATAACTATGCCTGACTATCTGTTTTCGTTCTCTATTACGGAGTACAGTAATGGCAACAACAACAACAACAACAAGAACAAATTTAATGACAATGGCTGGCAACAAAATGAACAACAACATAGTTGCCGCATTGTTATTTTCCGTACTGTCACATTGTTATAATGTTATGGTGATAAAACTTAAATAAATACCAAAACACATACGCACACACATACACACACACATACACATGTGCTATATGAAGATACCCAACATACCAAATTGACTTGAGAATAATATTTTAATAAGCTTACAAACATAAGCCTAAAGCTTGAGAAAATCTTGAGAATGTATTGAGAAATGTTTGTTTAACAATTATAGAATAATCGAAAAGGAACCCTTATTCATAAGCTTATTCTTGTAATTGCAGAATAAGCTTACGAAAGTAATATTTTATAAAGCTTATTTTGTCAATGGTAAAAAATATTTATTTATTAATTTTTTAATTATTTTACACATTTCATTCATTGATTGCCATCCCAGCTGTCACTGCATCCTGTTGCCTTGATACCTAGATGCTTTCTTTCCCCTTATTTGAGCTTCTGTATCTCCTGCACTTATTCTTCACTTCTGTTGAATTCCTGCAACTTTTTGACGCCTCCATTCTGAAATGAGATTGAAATAATTTATACTACAGATTCCCAGATTTATTATTCATCATTACCTTAGAGTTTCGTCCGGAAATGGGTCCTAAATTCGCGAGATTTTGATTTTAACCAAAGAAAATAATTTTTTGTTGACAATTTTCACAAAAAAAATTAAAACAAATTTGTCAACAAAGGACAGATTTGAGAAAAGTTTGTGCAAAAAAGTGTTTCTCAAGCATTGTTGAAAAATTCTTATGATAAACTATTTTCATAATATTATTCTCAAGTTGTATTGTATTTTTGGTATGTTGGGTACTCTGTAATTCTTTTCTATAACCACAGACCCTTAGACCAAATAACACCAACTCTTTCACCACTTTTTCCCTGGAAGACAGACAAACTAATGCTGGAACATGCATGCTGCTGTTATAATTGCTAGTCTATCCGGCCATGTGGTGGTGTGTGCATAGGTGTGAGTACATATGTGTGTATGTTTCTCACAAGGCATGAACTATAAGTGGAGCATGAGTTTTAAATCAAAGCAACAGAAACAACGGCAGCTCAAACTGCTAACAGCACAATATACCATTATGATAAAATGGAGTAAATAAAGGGAGAGACGGAGAGACAGCCAGCCAGAGAGGGAGTAAGTGAAGGCAGCAAGGAGTGAAGGAGAAAAGTACGGAGTGTGTTAGGTGGAGAAAGAGTAATGGATACATGTTGATGTTACAAATTAAAATGAATGTGTGTTTGCTTCCGCTCTCCCTCCCCACTCTCTCACTATCTCAATCTCTGTTGATTTCCTCATAGCCTTTGATAGTTGTGATGTAGATGTTAGAAACTTATTAGCATTTTACATAATTCCACAGCATATTCTTGTCGGATATTTTATGTTTAGTCAAAGATTTATTTGCTATCGTATGGATTATTTAATTCAATATGGTGAGCTGGTATTTTGCTGTCGGTCCGGAAGACGATGTGAGAAGGCGAGAAGTGAATATATTGGCTCACTTGCAAACGATTTAACTGTGAAATAGTAGTTGGAATTGTTTACTATCAATTCTCCTCATCTATCTAAAAAAAGGAGTTACAATACACCTATTGGAACCAAACTATGCATGTTGGTACTACAGAATTCTTGGTTTGGATATGAAAGCGGCAAGAAAGTGGAAACAGATAATTGTCCGTTGTAAAGTGTAATGAAAATTTACAAGGCTGTAGTGTCCTTTGGGGCGTTTGTCAAGCCACGAAAGTTTCAAAACAAAATTATTAAAGACAATGTCACCCACGTTCGATAAAACCTTAAAACCTTGTCTTAAAGAGACTGTGGTCGTGAGTTATCCTTGTTTTATGGCGTATGGCTTAAGTGCTTTGAAGGCAATATTTCTATTTTAGAATTCAATATCAAACCCATTGTACAATAAGGAGGTAGAACAGCTTCGTAAAAACTACAGAAATACAGCCCTGAGGCTACGCCGCTTCCTGTCAAATTTGCATGGACAAATTGTTTTCCTTTATTCAATATTTTTCTTCATTTTTAAAATCTGTTGAACAGCGGGAAAAAATTAACGAAATGCCTTGATTTTCTTCCAAAAATATGATCTAAACAGTTCGATCTTTCAATTCCATGGCAAAACTTGCGAATAGCTTTAATGCGCGTCTCGCAATTTACGCGTCTTCTAATCAATGATTTTGCAAATATTCTGTTTTTATTTTTCAAAACATTAAATACATACACAAAATTGGCAGAAGCCGGGCACACTTAGAAAAAAATTGTAATCAGCTGGTAGCTCTACCTTACCTTTTTATTGTACCATGTACCAAATCATTCGTCTTCCTAGCTGTCAGAATTTCAAAAGGCCTGTGTATGGGGGTATTAGATCAAAAGAC